TGAGCAAACATGTTTACAAACAAGTTTTATTCGCACAAATAAATTTTATCGATAAGTGTGTGTATTTATACTTATTTTCTATGTGATGGTTCAATAAATAGGTGTAACTCAAAGTTTACACCAAACACTACTGATATTTGAGCAAGTGTTTCCAAAGTGTAAAACAATGTCCATTTTTTCTATATAAAATGGGTGCTTTCTATCCAAACCTTGGGTGCCATGAGCCATCTATAACTCCCTTCTATATAATATTTTCATTGGGTTGTAGTACATTCACAGTGAATATCTAAAATTTGGGGTTTTCACTTCTTGGACTACACTTTAACTTGGAAATATATAAAGAAATACTTCATCCGTCCCATTTAAAGGTTCTCGTCCACTATTCTTCGGTCAACGTGCATCGTTCTTAATCTTTTACTTTATATATCCAACTTTTATCAAATTTAAATTTTGTTGATCAGGCTTTGTAGCGGTTTTAATGTAGTTTCTGAATATGTAAATTTTATTTACTAAATATAATTCTACTAGTAACAGGGATCAGTTAACTTTATGGTCAGTCAAACGTCGTAAACCGTGTGGGAACGTTTAAATGGGACATAGGGAGTATCATATACCGATTAAGGCAAAGTGCATCCTACGACGAGATGTAGTAATGTACCATGCTTTTGTTGCAACACCCAATGATACATTATTACTTATTTTTGCAAATAGAAAAATTAACTATCATTAATCAAATCAGATAAAATAATAGTCGGAGGAACAAAAAACCAAACATGCAAGTCAGACAAAGAACAAGCAGCTCTAGTCAAAGCGTGTGTTGTCTTGTTCACTGATCGCCTCATATGAGAAAAAGAGATGCTAGAAAAAAATTCGCCAATTCTCTAATATCGATAGCTACCAAACCAAAAGCAGAGCAACTAAAACCCCTCAAGATTTCCGAGATAGTCCGGGATGCATCAGACTCCACGCCAACATTGCCTCTCTCTGTCTCCTGCAACCAACTAAGAGCTTCTCAAATCCAGATCAGTTCAGCTTCTAAAGGGGATAATTTCCTTGTCTCCTCCTTGTTATAAATCCGCCTTCCTCGTCTCATAAACACCATCCGAGACCATAGTCCTCCACCCTAACAGAAGCATTCACATTCACCTTCAACCTCCATGGAGTCGGCCGACACCAAGAAATGGCAGACTGCTGCCCGACTAGCCTCCTTCTGCCTCGAACAAGCTGAGCCTAAGACTAGTCCGTCACCAAAGTGTCTGCTTCGAACATAAACTTCTTCACCTCCAGGGACACATGATGCCAGCTCCGCTGATTCCTCTTGCACTTAATAGCCCAACACTTCCAAACCATATTCACAAGTTTGTCATTCCTTCGCGAATGAAACTCCTGTTTCACTTGTTCCAGAAAATGGGTAGCACCATGACTAGAGCAGACCCAAGTAACCGCCGCCCAGGCCTGCTTTGCTACTGCACAGTCCACAAAAATATGGAGCAACGTCTCAGTCAAGGGGCGGCTTTGAGGGCAGTTGGGCCAGGCAACTGCCTTGGGCCTCAACTACCAAGGGTGCCTCCAAAAAATTCTACTCCGGTATTAGTATTAGGTGTTATTCGCAGACCGCCAATACACCAAGCGGCAACTGCAAGCAGAAATCAGCTTTATAGTTCACTTTTGACTATTCTTCCTTCATCAAAGTTGTAGATACTGAAGTCTTCTATCCAACACAACTTGCAAAACTGAATTTGAATCATCCAATAAAAATATATGAATAAAATGGTGGAAGGTCGCATTCTGAAATCTCAACAGAGGTTGTCTGTCTTCATCGTCTGTTGTCACCTTGCTTCTCTCATATTCTCACAATGGTGTCTTCATATGATTTGTATCCCTTGAAGTTGGCTTTCATATGAAACTTGAATCATGTTTTTTGGATGTTCCTAAGAAATGATATGCTTGAACGATTGACAGAACGTCATCATGGCCGTTGTTTTCAAGCTCTATTTGTCTTCTTTTGATCCCGTAGCCAATTCTAGAGCTCTTTGGTTTTCAAAACTTTGTCTTTAACACCTCACTGATCTCCAATGCTCCTAATCAACTCTAAAATGCTTCTCAACTCGTTTCTATTGCTTCTCAAACACCGGTGCCAGGCTCAAATTCTCTTATTTTGACTCCAAAAATACCAAAACTCGAACCAACGGCCGGTAAATATGACTTGAGCTTAAAATTGAGACTTATGACACCTTAAAGTTAGGAAAAAACTATCAAAAGCCGATCTCAACACGCATCAACGTCCAACACAGACCGCTGATCGGCTATTGTATATATGCCTCACTGCCCGCCGTCGACATGGGTCCTTGGTTAGTGAATCAACTAAGACTCTTCAGCTCTTCTCTCTGAGTCTCGTTCTTGAAGTCTCTTAATACTTTTACAAGTACAAGTTTGCCTTGTGTTTTGAATAAGTTTGCATTTTAAAATTTATCCTTTTGAATATTACAAACATTATATCGTGGACTTTGAATATGCTTGTTTTCATAAGGTGATTTTTATTCAATTTATCTGATTTTAAAAGTGATTTGTACATAGTAAATAGTTTTCGTCTGGGGCCTCCAAAATGCTCAAGCCGCCTCTGCCGGTCTCACTAGCCCCCCACATAATCCGCACACTTCAGAGCAATCAACTCGACGAGAATGCGGATTCTCTTTCGTCGGAAGACAACCACTACAAACCTGCCAGAAAAGGGTTTTAGTTTTTGTAGGAAGTCTCCAAGGCCACACATCAGTCCAACCCATCCACCCCGACAAACTCAATTCGCCAACTAATCGCTAATAACAGCTCTTGACGGCAAATTGTTTGTTCTCCTCCCGCCTCTAGGCCTTTTATCAGACCAAACGAAGGCTAAGTAGGATGCTTTAAATTAATAAAACATCCATGTGATCAAAGATATCCCTCATAACGTCTAAATTACATGTATGCTCTTTTCGTAACATCAATATGCTGTCCACCTTGCCTGATGTAATCCCATGCCGACTACTGAAACCACCTTGGGATTATCTTGATCAGGTAGCCATACTAGCCAATGCTCCTCCCAAATATTTATGAATTTTTCTTCTCCCACCCGCCATTTTATAGGCATCTTGAATCAGAGGTTGAGATTGAAACAAACTTCTCCAAATAAAGGAGGGATTATTGTCAAGATTAACCGACAAAAGACTAGCTCTGGGATTTTCTCTGGATTGGAACACATTTTGTTGCATCCTAAAGACTTGAAGTTTGACACACTTATAACATAGGGGTGTATATGGTTTCGGGGCCTTTAACGCCACATCCACCTCCATTTTCAGTCCAAAACTGATGATGCTTGTAATCTCCCACTTCTCGAGCTTCGGGCCAACATGGGGGTTCGCCATCGCTGTCCCCCCGCTCGAGTGACAACTACCCCGTCTTCCCCATCTTCAATTCATTTCTCCTCCAGGACTGCTACAGAACCCATCTGGTTTGCTTGCTAAACAATTGTGGAAAGTGAAATTGAATATTGTTGTGGTTGTTTCTTTTTAAAAAAAGTGATTTAAGATTATATTTAATAGTAAAAGTTTGTAGTGTTTGAGAAAATGTTTTTTTAAATAAGTAAAATTTGATAGTGTTTGATAAAAAATATTTTTGGGTTAAGGAAAAGAGTGAAAACATGTCAAATCACTCATCTACATGATTCTAGCTTTTAAGTTAGGATGGACAATTCGGTTCACGGTTCAAATTTCTCCATTTGGTTTCGATTTATTTGATTTTGGAGATATTGTACCAAATTAAAACTATTTTTGTTATGATTAACATTCAATTCATTTTGAGAGTGATTCAGATCAGTGCAGTTTCAAATTCGAGTTATCAAAAGGAAAATGATTTGATTCAATTTAGTTCAATGTGATTCAGTTTCATGTAATTTATTTGTTCTATAATGGAATTTCAATTTTTTTAGAAATAGAAAAAACAGTCCACCTCATATTTTTGTATTTATTTAAAACAAGTGTAAAGGGAAATAAAAAGATAGCAATAATATTAATAAAGTATTATAGATTAAAAATCTAATTTGTATTATTAAGACTAATGACATGAAATTTTAAGTTTATGGTTAGTTAACATTTATAACATCACACAAAGTATTAGAAGAAAAATTAAGGAAAAACTATCAAATAGGTCCTCGAACTTTCATAAAAAGGTCAATTAAGTCTTTCTATAGGAGGTTCTATCCGGCCGTCGCGATTTGGGGCGGTTCTCGGTGGGATTTTTTGATGAAATTTTTTGAGCATCTTATTCATTAGGTCTAGTTTAGTCATACCAAATGTCAGCTAAAAATTCAATCGGAAACACATTCAAATTAATTTGTGAAGATAACTGCGCATTTTTGCGTTCTCGAATTAATTTGAATACGTTCCCAATTGAATTTTTAGCTGAAATTTGGAACGTGTAAACTAGACTTGATGAATAAGATGCTCAAAAAAAATCATCAAAATATTCCACCGGGGACCGCCCCAAATCGCGACGGTCGTACAGAATCTCCTATAAAGGGACTTAATTGACTTTTTTATGAAAGTTCGAGGACCTATTTGACAGTTTTCCCAAAAATTAATGAGTAGATGACAAAAGTGTTGTAAAATTCATAAATTTTTATTGGAAAAGGGTGAAACAGGCCCTTACTAATTGCTATCCATTACTTAAGTCCATATACTAAAAAAGTATCATACAAGTATGTTTTCTTTAAAAACGTAATCAATCAAGTCATTTTAATCTGCTATCACAGGTTATTTAAAAAAAATCAATTGATAAATCTTATAAAAATTCATATAAATTTGAAATATAATATTAGTATATAAATAGTACAAATTTAAACAAAGAATAAAATTTAAAACGTTCAAATTAAAAAATAAAAATAAAAACTGAAAATAGAGTTGTTGGGCCTACAATGTTATGCAAATTATGAGTAGCCTAATATAATTGCACACACAAAAGAGAACGTAATGGTCCAGTTACTAACTAGCTAATATTTCAAAGCCCATAAGATATTCTCACCCTCATCGCTATTTATTCTCACCGCTACAAAAACCCTATCACTTCACCATCACCCTTTTCCGCCGTCCGCCGCTGCAATGGCCACAGCCGCCGTACGCCCCCTAGTTTCCGTTCAGGCCCTTGAAAATGACATGGCCACGGATGGACTATCGGCCGCTTCACTACCTCTTCCCAGCGTGATGAAGGCTCCTATTCGTCCCGACGTTGTCACCTACGTGCACGCCAACATTTCGAAAAATGCCCGTCAGCCCTATGCGGTGTCGAGGAAGGCCGGTCACCAAACATCCGCCGAGTCCTGGGGTACCGGACGTGCTGTGTCACGTATCCCCCGTGTTCCAGGCGGTGGTACTCATCGTGCCGGACAGGGTGCGTTCGGTAACATGTGTCGTGGTGGAAGGATGTTCGCCCCCACTAAGATCTGGCGCCGCTGGCATCGTAAGATTCCGGTGAATCAGAAGCGCTACGCCGTGGCTTCTGCCATCGCCGCCTCTGCTATTCCATCTTTGGTCCTTGCCCGGGGTCATCGCATTGAAACGGTGCCAGAGATCCCTCTCGTGGTCTCTGATTCTGCTGAGGGAATCGAGAAGACAGCCAATGCCATCAAAGCGCTCAAGCAAATCGGAGCCTATCCTGATGCAGAGAAGGCTAAGGATAGTCAGGGAATTCGCGCGGGTAAAGGTAAGATGCGTAATCGTCGCTACATTTCACGAAAGGGACCTTTGATTGTGTATGCAAGTGAAGGTGCTAAGCTGGTGAAGGCTTTCCGGAACATCCCTGGAATTGATATATGTCACGTTGACCGCTTGAACCTCCTAAAACTCGCTCCTGGTGGCCATCTTGGACGCTTTGTCATCTGGACTAAGTCTGCTTTTGAGAAACTGGACGAGATATATGGAACATTTGATAAGCCTTCCGAGAAGAAGAGGGGTTATGTCTTGCCCAGGCCAAAGATGGTTAATGCTGATCTTGCCAGGATCATCAATTCTGATGAGGTGCAGTCTGTCGTCAGACCAATCAAGAAGGAAGTAAAGAGAGCTACTCTCAAAAAGAATCCATTGAAGAATCTGAATGTGCTTCTCAGGCTTAACCCGTATGCTAAGACTGCCAGAAGAATGGCCCTTTTGGCTGAATCTCAGCGTGTTAAGGAAAAATCTGAGAAGCTTGCCAAGAAGAGAACACCTATCACAAAGGTATATTATTTCTCACTGTATTGGATATTTCTATCCTTTACTGCTTTTTATGACATTTAGCAACTCAATTCTCTTCAGTATAGTGTTATTGATTTATTGATTATTGATTTACAAATTTTGCAATAAAATCTAGTGTTTTTTCTTGTAATTGTAAATGACCATTATGTCTCTCTATAAATGCTTGCTTCCTTAACAATTGTATCTTCATACATTCTTGCTTCCCGAACACTAGGGTTTATACTGTTTTTCCTTTTTTGTTTATCTTATATTTGGCGCCTATGTAACTTGTCAACATCTGTTAAAAGCAATATGGCTGTGATATTTTCCATCTATATTTGAATAAGTGAAAATGTGAGTAGCTTTTGATTTCCCGTCTTATGCATTCCTATAACAGGAGGAGGCATCTAAGATAAGGGCTGCTGGGAAGGCATGGTACAAGACGATGATCTCTGATAGTGACTACACAGAGTTCGACAACTTCTCAAAGTGGTTGGGTGTTGCTCAGTAATTTCAACCGTTTTTAAGAACTTAAAGTTTCTATTGCTGCTTAGTGTTTCTTTTTTTCTTGCAATTTTGTGATCGAGAGACATTGTGTGGAGTGGGAAGGACTTGCTTGGCATTCTTTCCCCAAATTCCACTTAAGTTATCAAAACAAAACAGGTCTGGTGTTTGGAATTTGATATCTTATTGTGCTGGCAACAGATGCTATATGTGACAATTCGTTTTTTGTTTCTTCAAGTTTTCTTAGTATTGAGACCCTTTAAATATGTCCTGTGCTTTATCCATATTATGGTTTCAAGGTATGTCGTGGAAGTTTGGTAGTATTTTCTTTTTGTACTTGTTATGATTTAATGGTATAATCCATTTTTACTGTCTACTATGTGTATGCATGTGCTTTTGTCTAAGAATGCAAGTGCAACTTTTAAAATTTATTATTCAAGCTTTGGCAATTATAAAATCTAATTTTTTTTAAAGATCAATACTTTCGGGTTGGAATTTATTTACTACAACTACAGTAAAATGGTGAGAGGTGACTTATGCTAAACTATTGGGGGGAGTGGACTTTGAAACCGTTCCAAATCTAGATAACAAATAATCATGACAAAATCTCTACCACCATGTTGTAATTCATAAACATCTTTTGATTGCTAAATTTTTTAATGTTATTATTTTATCATTTAATTGCAGATTTTAACTCGCAACATATTTTTTAATATAACTAAGATAATAGTAGTAACAGTTTCTAACACTGATTCAAGATGGACTTCTTGTCATGTAATAATATGGCAACAATAGGATTGTAATTTGGTGGTCTGTTTTAGTTTGGTCTGGTCTGTTTTGGTCTAGTCTGGTCTGGTCACGTTTGGTCTGGTTTGAAATTTTATTTTTTATAATTTTTGCATAAAGATTTTATTATATATAGGTCTTCCCATGCAAAGTGAGAATTAATCTCGTGCGTTCATTTTGAGATCTAATGGCTCAAAATGAGCCAAAAGTGAACTAAATTCGATCAAAAATGCAGTGGCAATTTTGTAATTAAAATGAAATTTTTTGACATCGTGAAAAAGTGCAACAGAAACACGCAAAAGTGCAACGCGGTAAAGAAAAAGTGCAATTATTTGCACTTTGCACGAGAGAACCTCTTTTTATTTGATCTCTTCCCAATATATATATATATATATATATATATATATATATATTAATAATAGTAATAATACTAACAATAATATTAACAATAATAATAATAGCAATAATAATAGCAATAATAATAACAATAATAATAGTAATAATAGTAATAATGATAATAATAATAATAATAGTAATACTACTAATAATAATAATAATAATAATAATAATAATAATAAGAAGAAGAATAATAATAACAATAATAAGAATAATAGTAATAATAGTAATAATAATAAGAGAAAAGGGGCAAATAAACCCACATACTAACAAAAAAGGTCAAATAAGCCCTTATATAGTAGGCTATGACCGACCGTCGTCATTAGGGAAGGTTCTAAGTGGAAATTTTTGATGCAATTTTTTGAGCATATTATTAATTAAGACTAGTTTACTCATAGCAAATTTCAGTTAAAACTTCAATCGGGAAGGCATTCAAATGAATTCTTGAAGATAACTGCGCATTTCAAAGCGCAGTTATCTTCAAGAATTTAATTGAATTCCTTCCCAATTGAATTGTTAGTTTCAATTTGGTATGAGTAAACTAGACTTAATGAATAAGATTGTCAAAAAATTTCATCAAAAAACTCCACTGGGAACTACCCCAAATCGCGACAGTCGGACTGAACCTCCTATATAAGGGTTTATTTGACCTTTTTTGGTTAGTACGTGAATTTATTTGTCCCTTTTCCCTAATAATAATAGTAATAATAATAATACTAATAATAATAAAATATGGTCTGGTCTTGTCTGGTCTGATCTGTTTTAGTCTGGTCTGTTCTGTTTTAGTTTGGTCTGGTCTGGGACGAATTACAGTTCAAGTAAAAACAACCTGGAATCGAATTGGGATAGCCAATTAAATTAAAAACATAAATATAATATCTCTTTATTTGAATGATTTTATATGTTTTTCTTGATAATGAAAAACACGTCTAGTTATAGAGTTTAGATATTGTAGTTGACATTATTGAAATTTTTGTATCAATTTTTGAAAGTAGAGAGAAATGTGATAAATTCAATCTTATATCACGACTCTAAAATAAAAGAAAATGGTCAAATAGGCTCTAAAACTTACATAAAAAGGTGAAATAAGCCTTTATATAGGAGGTTTTGTACGGTCGTCACCATTTGATGTAGTTCCCAGTGGATTTTTTTGATAAACATTTTTGAGCATCTTATTCATTAAATCTAGTTTACTCATACCAAATTTCAGCTAATAATTTAATCGGAAAGACATTCAAATGAATTCTTGAAAATAACCGAGTTTTTAACTGCGCAGTTACGTAATGATCCACGTTAGACGTGATGATGAATCGAATATCATCGATTGGAAATACATTCAAATGTTTTATTTTTATTTTTATTTTAGTCTTTCCTTATCTCTTCCTTTGTTTCTTCCCCGAGACCACCTTCTCCGTTCTAGTTCTCCCCGGGCATCTCGCCATCTCATTCTTTGTTTCTTTCTTGCTTTTTTTCTTTATTTTCCTTTATTTGTTCTATTTCTTTCTGGCAAAGAGTAGCAACCTTTGTAGCTCACAACTCTGTCAACTGCCGCGTTCGTCCGTTAGCCGCCCATAATTTCCCCAACTTCCGACGCGCGTTGCCGGTTGGCCAAAGCTTCCCTAACTGCGATTGTGTGTTGCTCATCGGTGTCGTCGCCTACCCATCTCAAATCTGCCACCCACATCCACAGCTTACCGGCCTTGCCGTCGCTGCTCGTCACCCACTAGTTCTCCGACCTCCATCTTCCGCCTCCCGTCGCCCACAGGGCCACAATTATCCCATATGGCCATATCCCGAGAGTTGGCGGCTTTTTCCGTCTCCCATATCTTCCCAACACACCACCCGCCCCTCGTCGGCGACTCTTCTGAGAAAGAACGCCTGAAGGAGAAGGAAAAGGAGGAGAAGAAGAAGGAGAAGAAAGAGAAGGAAGAAGAAAGAGTAGAAGAAGAAGCAGAGAGAGAGGAGGGGTGTTTTTCAAACATATTTCCCAAACTAAGTTACTTTTAAATTTATTTCCCAAATAGGGGTATTTTTTGCCATGTCACTTCAGTATCACTACTGGGCGTCACATCAGCTTATCCACATCATCCCATCAATTCCATGTCATCAATTTTGAGAGTTTAGCGTGCTTCTAAAATATAGAAAAAAATTGAAGCCAACAGGATTTGAACTTAGGTGGAACACAAGAAAGACATGTATATGAACCACTACACTACATCATTCACATGTTAAATTGTTAACACATGCCTTTTAAGAAGTATAACTCATGTATCCTTCATCCCGGGAGTGCACTATTTCTTAATCGTATAAAAAACTTATAAAATAAAATAAAATATAAGTAAATTTCATGCTAGTCCACTTTAAATTTCAGCCTCAGCTCTACTCCGCCTCGGAACCAAGCATTTTTCGTTGATAAATTTATCAAATTTTGTCTTTCTTAGATAAATATTATATGATTTTCTTGACATGAATAGTATCTGATTTTAAATTTGGGTGGGTTAGAGCCTTTCATAACATTTAGTAACAATAAATTTTAATTAAGTCTTTATTTTTAATTATCACAAACCTAGTATTTTGCGTATTTTTTTTAATTATTTTAAAAAGCAGCTATATATTTTTAAAGCAATGAGTAATACTCAGCTAAATGTATACATTCTTGGACTTAAAGTATTTGTATTGCAAATTTCACTAAAAGTTAACATGTTACAATTTAGTTCAAATTTGAGCGTTGAATTTGAAACAATAATAATCAATGAGAAAATTGAACCGAGTCGAGAAGAGTTGAGCTGCTATAACGAAATAATCACAATGAAAAGCTTAGTTTGCGATATTTAATTCTATAAAAATGTAATTTAAATTTATAAAAAAATTGAAGTTTATAATTTAAAAGTTATTTGAAATAACTCAAAAGTAAATAAAATAAAAAATAAGTAAATTTCATGCAATAAGTAACTTAGAAATATGACTTATATTTTATTTGATTTTATTTCATTTGAAGCTAAGTTATTTAAAAAAATACATATTCCAAATTGTGTTTTGTCATTATAAGTTTAAATTAATTTTTTGTATTCTATGTTAAATATTTCTTTATTTTTCAAATTAAATTAGCAAATTATGTTTTTATTATAAGTTTTAATAAGATTTTTAATTGAATAACTCAAATTCAGTTTTTTATTATTACATTTTTTATTGTTTGGTAAAGAGATATTTCTAAAGGAACAAATAATACATGCGATTAAGAAATAGTGCACTCCCGGGGTGAAGGATACATGATTTATACTTCTTAAAAGGCATTTGTTAACAAGTGAATGGTGTAGTGTAGTGGTTCACATACATGCCTCTCTTGTGTTCCACCTAGGTTTCGAATCTTGTTGACTTCATTTTTTTTCTATATTTTAGAAGAACACTTAAACTCTCAAAATTGATGACATGGAATTGATGAGATGATGTGGATAAGCTGATGTGGCGCCCAACAGTGATAATGAGGTGACATGGCAAAAAATACCCCTACTTGGGAAATAAGTTTAAAAGTACCTTAGTTTGGTAAATAAGTTAGAAAAACACCCCTCCATGGGAAAAAACTCCAAGAAGAAGGAGACAGAAATAAACAGAAAAAGAAAGGAGAGAAGGAACATAAATTTAGTTGTCTAGATTTTTGTCACTTTCTCATTAATGTAAAAAAATTTGTTGTTTTAGCTACTTCTTCTCTCTCCTTTCAATTCAACCATATAATTTACTTGGTGCTTATGGTACCCAACAAAGATAGAAGGGTATCATACCTAGGATGCATTTCATTGGTCCAATTCAAAATTTTACATTTTATTTGCATTTAAATTATTCAATTGAAATTTTTTGATTGGTCCATACCATCAAGGGTATCATACCTTCAAGGTACCATAGAAATTGCCAATTTATTTTTCTTTTTCATCTGCTAATGCAAAGTTGACAATGTACAAGAATAAAGGTAATACTTTGTGTCCCTTAAGAACTTGTCAATTTGATCCACACACGAAATAAAAAATAAAAATTGTGCAGTTGAAATTTGTGTAGAGGAAATAGAAATGACATTAATAAAAAAATTATTAAAAAAGTAATGGTAAATTCATTGACACACTAAAAAAGGAAATTACACCATCTGTCCAAATTAAATTGAAAATTGATTTTTTGGGGTCAAACAAATTCATTTTATTCACTTAATTAGGATATCAGTTCTTAATAAAAAAATTACATTTTATAACTTTATAGATTTAATATAGTTTTTGGATATGTAAATTTTGATCATTAAAATTGAATAATTTATAAATAGAAAGGATTTAACTTTATGATAAAAATGTTGACTTTGTAAAGTACGATAAAGTGTTCAGATTCAAAAATCAAAATGAGTAGTACTCAATATTGAAAATAGACTGATGCGGGTGCAAGTAAAAGCCTATGTTTTAAAAACTCACCCGACCTGATCGGGTCGACCCTGAACCGGCGACCCGGATAAAAACTCGGTTCGGTTTTTATAAAACCCGGAAATGATTAAAAATCGGGAAAATCCGACTGATCTGGGAAAATCCGTTTCGGATCCGGACCCAAGAAATCCGAAAAAATCGGGAAAACCCGGTTTTATGTGTTTTTCCAAACAAAAAAAATCTTTTTAATTTTAATGCATTTCTTAATCCATTAAAATTGCAATTTCAATACCCTAAAAAAACTATACGAATATAAATGCATGATACAAATAAAAATATCATTATATATTATTATAGGATCAAAATTATACTTTGAAATATTATGAGAGTGTATTAAATGCTTAATAAGTAGTATTGTTAGTTGATTATTATGAATAATAACTACATTTATTATAATTTTATATATAATTATATTTTTATTATTAGGGAGAATTTGAGTTTGCACCCCATGTTTTGGGTGATATTTGACTTTACACCATATTTTCAAAATCATTAATTTATGCACCCCAATTCACTATGAAATCATTTGACTTTGCACCTCACTCTTTCGCAAATTTTGAACTAATGAGGTGCATACATTAATGATTTTAAAAATGGGGTGCAATGTAAAATATCACCCAAATAATGGAGTGCAAAGCCAAATTTTCCCGTATTATTATATAGACGTATGATTGTTGACCGATTTTCCAGCATTGGCCGGGTTGACCCATCGGGTCCGGGTTGACCCGTGACCCAGTCACTCGACTTGGTCGCTCACTGGTCCTGTTTTTACTTTTTACAACAGAGTAAAACTACTACTTGTACATACTATCTATAATCTTTTCCGACAGAGAAACGTTTGGCCAGGAATGATGGAAGCGCTGCTGATCCTCCCAGCCTTTTCTGTTTCTCCCCCGCCCAACTTCGCTCCTACTCCTCCTTATCGCCACCGCAACCACCTATATTCCGTCGCTACTTCCACAACCAAGTCAAAGTCTATACTAAATCCTAACAACAAGTCTAATCCATACTATTGTCACTCTAATTTACGTTCCGACGCCTCGGTAACTCCTCTGCCGCTGCTTACACCCGAGTCTAAATGGGACCCCTCCGCTTCCAACGGCCAAGAAAGCGCTATCTTTTACGCGGAAATTGCTTCCAACATCGCTAGGGACGGGAGATTCAAGGACTTCTTGATGGTTGTGGAAAGCATCGCAGCTTCGGGAGTAGGAGTTTCGGATTTTGTAAGGTTGCTGAATGTGGACCTCATATCTCTCGGAATTGTGCGAAGTATCGATGGAGGGAGCGCAGGTAGTGTTATTGAGCTGCTTGGCAGTGTTCAGAAACTACAAATCGATCCATCTCTGCTGCTTAATAATGATGCTATCCACGCGCTTGGGAAGTATTGTCGGAGCATTGTGGAATGTGGCCAAGAAGAAGAAATTGTTACGTTGATGGAAACGCTTCAAGGTATATTGTTGTGTGTTTTTGTGAAGTGCTCCTACCTTGCGTGTCAAGGTTTTGCTGTCATTTGTGTAAGTGATGTGTTGAACAATTACCGGTTTCAGGATACGGTTTTCCATGTAAAAAGTTGGTTGGGACCTTGCAAATCATAAGGCTTTGTGTGACAAAAGTAAACCCAGGTGCTGCCATCAGGTATTGAGAAGCACATTTTTTGAAATATGGAATTTATCAACTGCTGTAGTGGTTCCTCAAAAATGAGACGTTATATGGAGAAATTAAGACCATATGAGTTTATTCTGAAGTTTTTCTAGATTTGTTTAGGTGTTGTTAAGTGCAACACAAAATTAAAAAATCTAACAGAGAAGTTTTTTAAAAAATAACTTTTGCCCTTTCTTGCTATTACACTACCATCTTCAAACCTTTCCTTGAACAATTTGGAGAAGGCATGGCCCTTGTCGGAGAATTCTAGGTTAGAATACAAAAGTTTTTCTAACACGGTGATCAATATAGTCTTGCAGCCTGTATTCAGATATAGGACTGTTTAATCAGGCTATAAGATCGAAACAGGTTTTCAAGAATACAATGGAATTAGCAAATTGGGACATTAGGACCATTCAGCATCATTTTCTTACTTCTGTTTTTAGTGTTTCTTCAGAAACAAAAGTTTAAAAAATCCAGTCATAGAAATTAGAAATTTGTTTCTTCAAACAGAAGAAAGCCTGTTTTTTGTATTTAAAAGGCTTGTAATACGCTGCCGCTGGATATTGTTAGGCAATTTAAAGAGTTGTTGAAGAAACAACTTTAATTTTTATTTCATCTAAAAGTCTAAACGTTTGAAGAACTTAAAAGCTCTGAAAGTGGCAGAAGATTATATCATTGTTGGAGGGGGGGTCATGGGTGCATAGAAACATGAAGGCCGTATGTAAGGATAGAGAATTAGTTCTAAACTTCAGTCATAGCTTGGGTAGTTTTCCTCCAAATGCTAAGCTTATTTTCCCTCATGGTGATATCAATTTGGCTTTGTACTCAATAGCTTCCTTACTTTATGAGTTTCAAGGGATGAATGTTGATAGTACTGTAGATGTTATCACTTGGTTAAAGCTACTAGCTGATGCCTTAAGCCCTAACATTGGCAGGTATGCACATATTTTTTCACATGCACAAATTTTGTTGTGTACCACAATTCTTGAATTTGGGAAGAAAGGTGACTTGGGCTCTGCTATGACTGTATTTGAAGCATCAAAACAGGGTTTGACCTCTCCTAATATGTATGCCTACCGAACAATTATAGACGTTTGTGGTCTTTGTGGTGACTTCTATAAATCTAGGGCCATATATGAGGTAATGAAATATCACTTCTAGACTTTTTTTTATAGTGTATCACTTCTAGACTTGTTAATGTTTTTGCTAGAAATCTCATTAAACAGTTAAGAAGCTAGGGTAATATCAATCAGGAATTACAGTCTCTTAACCTTGCATCATTTCTTTGGACTTGATTGATAAACTAAGAAAACTAAGTGTGTTCCACTCGGAGATAGGGTCTACACATACCTTGCCCTTCCCTGAGAGATAGAGAGGTTATTTTAGGTGAAACCCTTGGCTATCAATGGGCTGGGTCTAGACCCGAAGCCAATTGTTTTTAATGAGTATGCGTCTATATTTTATTCCATTTACCCGAACTTGAACCCATTAGTATTTTTTATAAATGGGTCGGGTATGGTACATATGATTCCGACTCGTTAAGGACCCAGACCCGTTTAAAATTACTTATTAGTGTGTGTGTATATATATAGTTATATACACACGTTACTACATATCTACCGTATAAGTAATACTGAGATAGTGGGATACCCTAAAACTAATATCACATACGTAATATAATATACTTTTATACTCTCAATAGTCTAGAAGACCGTTTTGGTACCTAATTTTTAGTTTATTCTACGAGCTTTCTGATGCGAGAGAAAGGAGCATGGAGTGTGGAGCTATACGCCTCTACAAGAACTGATCCTTTGGATAAAAGTACTGATTTTCTATGTGGAACCTTGATTTTTGTTTTTTGAAAAGTGAATATATGTTTTGCTTGTGAGTTTTGTTTATTGTTAATGATAATTGAGGAGGGTAGCTAGTTTACGCACTTTGCTTTACCTTTCATATACAGGTTTGATTATTTTGACAAAGATTATAATGTTGTGCATCTCATATTTGGTGGGTCTACCTGACCCAGTTACGAGACTCGTTGGGTCTGGGTCTGGGTCCGGATCCATGTTTCAGACCTGCCGGGTATATGGGTCCGGGTAGTTTATTAACATAGTGGGTCCGGATCTAGAACACTAAGTTCCGGACCCGACCCGACCCGTTGACAGGCCTACCCTTGGAAAGTGGTGAAAGGTAGTGTGGGCTGTGCGGAAACCAAGGAAGAATGTATGACCCTCAGCGAAAGTTTCAATAACTAGGTGCAAGTTATATTATGTACCACATCTTTTACTACCTGGAAATGATTGCTGATAGATCAAGTTGTAACTGCAGGAGTTAATTGCTCTAGGTGCAACTCCAAATACTTATGTTTTCAACAGTCTCATGAATGTAAATGCTTGTGATTTGAGCTACACATTGTCTCGTTACGAGAAAATGAAGGCAAGTTTTTTGTATTCTTGTGATCACATTCCCAAATTATCTTTATGCAAATACACATACATAAATTGGATATGAGAATTATATCTTCTATTGATTACATCTGGGAAAACTGTCTTTAAAAGGCTACCATTACAGTAACTAGAATAGAAGTGCATTACTTCATCATTGGCTCAATAGAAGTTCTAATGTCATCTTACCATTTTCTTTCTTCATGAATATAATGGGATTGTTTATTCTTTTTTTAAATGTATCCAGTATCTAGGTGTTCCAACTGATATTACATCTTATAATATCCTTCTCAAGTCGTGTTGCCTTGCTAGAAGAGTTGATCTGGCCAAAAACATTTATAAGGAGCTGAAGTCTTTGGAAACAAGAGGACTATTGGCGCTGGATATCTTCACATACAGCACCTTAATCAATGTATAGTTGTCTTTACTCTTTAGTTAGTGACTATTGTATATAGAGCCTTGTATTTTATTAATGTATAAAACCTATGTTACAAGAACTGGACCGGACTGGCCGGTTCGTCCCGGAAACCTGCGAACCGGGGCCAATTCCAATCCGGTAGGATGGGAACCCGCTAATATAGCAAGAACCGGAATTACCCGGAATCAGAACGGCCCAAAACTGGTAAATTCGGTCAACCAGGCCCTGGAACGAAAAATTGATGACGCGGGGAGTTGACCCCTCGTCATCCGGCAGAAAGGGAGGCCACCAGACCACTGTACCAATCGAACTTTTTGTTACTCTGTGCGCTTTAGCTATCCTTATACAATTTCCACGTATACTTTGACTTAAAAAGTGTTTTTAATTAGTATTCTGCAAATAATAATCATCATAGGATGATATGAACACACATAATTTCTATTATTAGAAGTAAAAATATGAATATAATATTTTCAAATTTTGAGAGAAGTGAGAAATTCATATTTATCGTCTCTAATTTCAAATACATTTTAAAAGTTGTTAAAATTTGTATATTTTAGAGCAATTGTTCTACTTTCCATGTTTTTCATGTATTATAAATACTGAATTATGATTAAAAATTATATTCTCTATAAAAAATTATTTTTGATATTTACGAATTTTATGTTTTTATTTTAGTCAATGTTGACCGGGTTTATTAACCGTTGACCAGGCTGACCCTCCGGATTCGGGTTGACCCTTGACCCAGTCATTTCTCCAGGTCGCCTTCCGGTCCGGTCTTGACAACATAGCATAAAACCCGTAGGATAATAGTAAGAGTATATGAATTATTGTGAATAATAAGATATTGAAAGATAATTTCTTTTTATTGATATATTTTGGTGTAGAGGGGAGTCATTGAAGAGTTCAATCGTGGGTAAACTTGTCTTCAAATGAGAGCGAGACGCCCCTCTTATAGGTGAGAGGGTAGACCAATAAATACAGAGAATATTCGGACATAAGTGTGCTAATTATTACTCCCTTTGTCCCGTTAAGATTGTCACCTTTCTTTTTCGGTCTGTCCCACTAAGACTGTTCCATACCAAATTTGGTAAAGTTTGTGTGATTCTAAATTATTCTTACTTTATCAATTCAGTATCAACCACACAAACTCACTTTTCTTAATAACCGTGCCAACTCCTCAAGTCCCAATGTTAGTGGGACGGAGGTAGTACAATTTAATGAGCTAATTATTACGTAATATTATGGATTAAACACCATCAAAAGTATTAGTTTGTTGTGTATTAATGTCTCCTTCATGACGACCGTTAAATCTATCCGGCAAAACATTGAGTTCAGTCTTCTTTGAGATACCGAGCCGAGGTTTGGGCTCTGTGCCTGCGATATCTGAAGACTAGAAAGTGGTCGGTTAGAGGTCAGATCTAATTATATCCATCAAGCCTAAATGCATCAAAAACCATGTTTAACCTTGAAACCCAACTTTACATTCATAAAAGGACACCATAGGCATATCCAAGGATGAAAAATCAAGTGGATATAAGACACGAATTCTAGTGCATCATATTATATAGAGAAAAATCACACTTTTAGTCCCTCAAATATTATCAATATTGAAATGCAATCTATGTGTTTTCAAGTGTGTAAATGTAACCCCTGAGTTGTCTGAATTGGTGTGAATTTAGCCCTCGCGGCCTCGCCCACATTGTAACTCACCACCCAAAGGACCACATTTGTAGCATTTGGACAATTGATGGGTGACATCTACAAACTTGAAAGCACAGGGATTACATTTCAATATCGATACTATTTGTGAGATTGAAATTGCAATTTTCCGTATTAAATAATAATACTATTATTCTCTACAGTGTCCTTACCGTTATTTCTATATTTTGATTCATATGACATGAATCAAAATATTAATAATGCTACAACTAGGTTGTTGCCTAGAAGCTAGGGGTGAGTTCGGTTTATTCCGTTCATTTTTGAGTTAAAACAAAATGTAGAACCAAACCAAGAACTTCGTTCAATTCAATTTTCTCATATATTTTTATGGAACCATGCTTCGAACGGTTCGGTTCAATATCAGATTTTTCGATATTTTAAACTAAAAGACACATACTACCTAAAAAAGAAGTAAAGTGCAAAATAACGAAATAAACAAAAACCAAAAATGAAAACATTTGAGTGCAGGGAATTTAGATTTTAAAGTCAGAGATAAATATATTTATAGACTTGCTTGTCTTCGTGATCGTAAGACTCAAGATATTTGAAAGATTAAGTGTGTGTGTGAAGGTTATTTATCAAAGGGTACTAATGAACGATGATGAGATATGGCTCAATGGGAACAAAGCACAAGATATTGATGATCTTACTATACCAGATTGTATGGTAAATCAGGATTTTATAATAAAATTCCAAATGATAGAAGTTAAAGAGACTTGGATCCATAAAGATTTGGAGGTCCGGAGAAGTTTAGGAGAGAGGTTTCAAGTGATGAACATGTTCTTTGTACAAGATTTGCAGAAACAAGAAAGTGCTAGCGAGTTGGCATAAAAGCAGTCTTATTCTCTTATAAGAATAAGAGTGATGTACAAGAATGTGACAACTGTTGAGGGATTACGCTTATGAGTCACACCATGAAATATTGGGAGCGGGTGATTGAGCAAGGGGCTCTAAAGAAGTTTGTAGATTTTGGGGAATCAATTCGATCTAATGCTTGATTGCTCAACAACTGAAGCCATTTACCTTCTTAGGCAACATGTGGAGAAGTATATAGAGGCACGAATAAAGAATTGCATTTGGTGTTCATTTTCTAAGAAAAGGCGTATGATAGGTTGTACCTTGTGAATTACTTTGATGGGTTGTAGTACAGGTGTCCTTACTAGTGTAGGGAGGACTACACTGTTCCCTATTACTATCGAAGTGCACTACTGCAATTCTTATATACTGGTGCATGTTGTTTGCTATTGTGTTGATTGATGAGACAAAATGATATGTAAAGCAAATTTGGAAGTATGGCTACAAACTTTGGAGGATAAAAATTGGAAAGATGAGAGTGGAATTTATTGAAGATAAGATGTGAGAGTCTCAATTGCTTTGGTTTGACATATCCATAGAAGACTAGGTGATGTACCTGTCACACGAGTTGAGAAGTTGGGAAAAGAGGTAGGGAGGAGAAGGAGAAGACGTGGTTTAGAGGGGTTAGGAATGATATAGTACTTTTTAGGTTGAATGAGAGTATGACTTTGAAGAGAGCGAATTTGAGGGAAAATATACGTGTGGCGGATTGATCTCATTTTATCTTTGTCATATGTTTTATCTTTTCTTCTTCTTTTTTATCTCCTTTTTTTCTTTTTATCTTTTTTTATCTTTCTTATATTCTTTATCTTTTTATCTTGTCTCTATCTTATCTTTTTTTATATCTTATCCTGTCTTTTTATCCTTTTTATCTCTTTTGATCCGATTTCAAATACCGATTCATGTTAGCTGTCCCCAGATTCTTTTGCAACAAAGGTTTGGATGTTGTTGTTGTTGTAGTTGTATTCTCTATACACTCTTTAAAAATATATGACATATTAGATAGTTAATAAGACGCGGTAATGCATCCATGTCTAATAAGCTCCGTTTTATGCTATCAGATACTTAAAAAGTGCATGGTAAAAATACTTTGTGTTCCCTCCATCTCACAAAATTTGGCCAAATTTGACTTGCACATAGAATAATAAAGTAAAAACTTTGTAGTTGAAATTTGTGTAGAGAGGCAAGTAATTTGAACCACATAATCATAATTATAAATGGAAATGATTTTTTTGGGATGATAGGATGATTAAATAAGGAAATTTGGCAAAATTTTGTGGGATGGAAGGAGTATATGTTAAAAATGTTCTCGAATGCAAATCTCATGGTGCGTGCAATTTTAAACTCTATTCAATTGTTTAGGTGTTTGCTGAAGCGAAAATGTGGCAAATGGCTCTCAAAATCAAAGAAGACATGCTATCAGTAGGTGTTGCTCCAAGTGTCATTACATGGTCATCATTGATCAATGCTTGTGCCAATTCAGGGCTTGTAGATCAAGCAATTCAACTGTTTAAAGAGATGCTTCAAGCTGGTTGTGTGCCTAATGCACGATGCTGCAACATTGTCCTTCATGCTTGTGTTGAAGCGCGCCAGTACGACAGGGCCTTTCGGCTTTTTAGGTCGTGGAAAGAAAGCGGGCTTCAGAAGGACGGCTTTGGAAGAAATTTAGAAAACAGTATGGGTGACACTGACAATCTTGGAAATTGTGCTAGCTTGCTGAACTGCACCTCTGGATCAAGTGTAGAACGGTTCTCATTTGGAATTCCTTTTATACCCACAACATCAACTTATAACACTATGATGAAGGCATGTGGTACTGATTACGATCGTGCTAATACTTTGATGGATGAGATGAAAACAATGGGTCTTTCTCCTAACCATATAAGCTGGTCCATTTTGATTGGCATATGTGGAAGCTCAGGAGATGTACATGGGGCAATACAGGTATGAGTGTCCTACCACAAGAAAGATTTGCACTTTTTTGTCAATTTATTTATTTATGCGATCTTACATATATGTGCACATAGAACGAAAACTTGATTAGAGTACATGGATAAAGGAATTGAATTATGGCATGGGAAGGAATAATTCCGTTTTCCCTATTTAGTTAATTAGTTATCCATCTTTTCCCCAAGTTTGTGGTGTTCCTTTTTATTTCTCCTGTAAAGGATAATCATGGGCATGATGATATTTTTCCTAATTTACCTTTCAAAATTATATATGGACCACATAAGAAAACATGTTGCATTAGATGTTATTAGCTCATTCATAGTGTTATGCTCTGGGAACAGGAGCATAACAAAATAACTTCCATATTGATGCATGCAAAGTTGCAAAGACTATACTAAATGTCTCCATGCAGTGCAGATCTTGCGATCCAGTCTTGATGCTGGCATGCAACCTCATCATCTTACTTACACCACAGCTATCAAGGTTCAGTGCTCAGTGTGCACAATGACTTATTATACTGTTAGATGTATGATTATTGTCATTGGTTTTCTTATATCATGAGCTTCCCTCTTATTTCCACAGGTCTGTGTTGAACACAAATATGTGAAGGATGCATTTTTGCTGTTTGCAGAAATGAAAGAGTTTGGGATAAAGCCTAGTAAGGTAAGTTTCTCCTCAGACATGTGCTCTTATAAGCTATATAGTCATATTTTTGTGTGTCAATCTTTGTTTAGTTTAAAAACATGGGGGCATTGTCCTTTTAGGCAACTTACAGTACACTTCTTAGAGCTAGTAGCAGATATGGATCTTTGGAGGAGGTACAACAATGCCTTGCTGTATATCAGGACATGCGGAAAGCTGGGTAAAATATTCAGCATGCCCCCTTTTCCTTTGATGTTTAATATGAAGAATTATTACCACTAAATGAGAATAAAAAAGGGAAGCCCGGTGCACGAAGGTATCCCCACACGGCGAGGGCTCGGGGAAGGGTCCCACCACAAAGGTGTATAAGAGGCAAGCCTTCCCCTGTCAAATTTTTACAAGAGGACGCTCCCGGACCTCTCAGTCACACAGCAACAATGGACAAAAGTTACGTCCTGTGCGTAGAAAGTCTTCCTCTTTTACTTATGCATCAATTTTTAGGAGTGTCGGCAACCCAATGTGGGAAGAGTGAGAAATGGGTGAAAAATATAAAGGAAAGGGAAATTTGAATGCTAAAAATTTCCTAAAAATGGAAATAGGAGAACTGTTGGAGGGACCAAAAGTGGATAGGAGGAAGAACATACTGTAAAGGAGAGAAAAAATGTATACCACTCAAGGTCAACGTATTGTGTCATGCAGATTCTGTGCTTGATGCCTAACACTTTCTAGTTTGGAAAACAATGTCTGCATTTTTTGTTCTTCTCTTTTAGCTTCTATGATGTCAATCTTACAGGCACAGACCCAATGATTACTCTCTCAAACAACTAATTGAGGAATGGTGTGAAGGTGTAATACAGAATTGCCACTGGAAGGAAGGCCTACATGCTCAACTAAATTTGATCGATCAAGGTTCTGAAAGTATGCTTCTTGAAAAACTTGCTGAAAACTTGCAGAAGAGTACTGCTGAATACCTATCTATTGATCTTCGTGAACTCTCTAAGGTATATTCTGGATAAGTACTGATAGATTTTTTGCTAGAATTATTTCGGGGATGGTGTTCTGATTTCATTCAGTTTCTATGTTCACTGCTTAACGTGATTCAGTTGATTTCCATGCCATCACACAGAACCAGGATTTTGTCTTTTGCATCAACTTCAGACATATCATACATTTTGCACTTGAGAAACTCTCATTTTTAAAGTTTCTGTTTCATATAGTATTACTGTGTAAATCATATAGACTACATCTGCAGGTTGAAGCTCGCCTAGTGATTCTTGCAGTGCTGAGAATGATCAAAGAGACATATAATCCAGGTCAGGAAACAATGTTTACACACTTATGGTACCTATATTTGTTTGATCCTTGGCTACATATTAAATAAATCTTAGGGTTAGTTTGGATGGCGGATTTTGAAGGCTTTTGAATGGGGATCGCATTTAGAGGGCACTTGAGGTTAAAAACATAACAGGTTTCTAAAATTTATGGCGATATTGACTTAACCCTCCAAAACCCTTCATGAGAATAGACCTTTAGGATAGTTTGGATGGAAGATTTTCAAGGGGTTGGGAGGGAAAAGCTCTGATAAGTTTTAAAATGTTATTAATTGGACTAAAAAATTCTAATTTGGTTTGGTTTGGTCTATTTAAGTTTGGTTTAATTTGTTCTGGTCTAGTCTAGTTTGGGACCAAAACTACTCAAGTTAAAAACTCCTTAAACTTATTTGTTGAACATATTACTCGTTTTTAACTATTATTCAGACAATCAGACCAAATCTGAAAGTTTCCGATTGAACTAGAGTACTAGACAAGAAAGACGGAGACCAGATGTTTTACTTTTGACCAAAAATTAGACAATAACACAAGGGAAAATCGCTCTTTTTTATTCTTCATTTATTCTGCACATTGAAATGTAATACCCATCTTTCAGCTGAAATTGTGTAATCACTGACATTCATAAATGTAAACTGAGTAATAAGAATTAAAGATGCAATGAAATCACTCTTCATTATCATTAGGTATGGCCAGTATAAATACATACAAGCTAGGGAATACAAAAAGGAAACTAAATCTGTCAGATTTACCTAGAATATTTAGTCTATCGCAGAGAATATATTAGCTACCATATATATACATAGAATATATTGACCATTAAATATGTATATTCTAACACTCCCCCTCAAGCTGGAGCATAGATATTAATCATGCCCAACTTGGTACAGATGAAATTGATACGTGTCCCCGGTAGAGCCTTGGTGAACACATCTGCCAGTTGGTTTCCTGTTTTGATGTGTGAAGTGCAAATTGTACCATCTTCTACCTTTTCTCGAGTAAAGTGACAATCAACTTCGATGTGTTTTGTTCTTTCATGAAAAACAGGATTATTTGCTATATGGATAGCCGCTTGATTATCACACCATAATCTCATGGGTTCTGTTTGAGTAAATCCAAGTTCACCAAGCAAATGCTGAAGCCAAACCAGCTCACATGTAGTCTGTGCCATAGCTCGATATTCAGATTCTGCACTTGATCTAGAAACAACATTTTGCTTCTTACTTTTCCAAGATACAAGGTTTCCTCCAACAAAGACACAGTAACCAGTGGTGGAATGTCGGTCATTAGGGTTTCCAGCATAATCCGCATCAGTAAACCCTTCAATAACATGATGTCCGTGGTTTTGATATAGTATCCCACGCCCTGGAGCCCCCTTCAAGTATCTTAGGATATGAGTAACTGCATCCCAGTGTGATGTTCGTGGAGTGGATAGAAACTGACTGACCACACTAACCGCGAAAGCAATATCAGGCCGGGTGATAGTCAAATAATTCAGTTTCCCAACAATCCTTCAGTATACCTCAGGATTTTCCAGCAAGTCGCCTTCATCAGCTGTTAACTTTACATTTGGGATCATCGGAGCATCACACGGTTTTGCCTCAACCAAACCTGCATCATTTAGCACATCTAGGCAGTATTTTCTTTGAGACAAGTAAATTCCCTTGTTACTACGTGAGACTTCTATCCCTAAGAAGTACTTCAAGGCCCCAAGATCTTTGGTCTGAAAGCAAGTAGAAAGGAAAGCTTTCAGTTTCAAAATACGACTCGCATCACTGCCAGTGATCACGATGTCATCAACATACACAACTAATAGAATGCATCCAGAATTTGAGGTAGAGAAGAAAACTGAGTGATCATAGGCACTCCTGCGTAGGCCAAATTTTAATATTGCAGCACTGAAACGGCCAAACCAAGCTCGTGGGGATTGTTTCAGACCATACAACGATTTCCTTAATTTACATACCTTTCCAGACTCCCCCTGAGCAAGAAACCCTGGTGGTTGCTCCATGTACACTTCCTCGCTAAGGTCACCATTCAAAAAGGCATTTTTAATATCAAGTTGATGGAGTGTCCAATTGTAAGTAGCATCCAAAGAGATAAACAATCGAATGGATGTAAGTTTGGCAACAGGAGAGAAGGTGTCAAAGTAATCTATACCATATGCTTGAGCATAACCCTTAGCTACTAACCGTGCCTTTAAACGAGCAACCGAACCATCAGGATTCATTTTGACAGTGAACACCCATTTACACCCAATAGCTTTCTTATCGGGTGGAAGATATACAAGGTCCCATGTGTGGTTCTGGTCGAGAGCCATTATCTCCTCTCGCATTGCCTCTTGCCAACCAGGATGAGTCAAGGCCTCAGAAACAGTTGAAGGAACAACAATAGAATCTAAAGAAGCAATAAAGCTCTTGGAAGAAGATGACAATGTATTATAAGTAACAAAGGAAGAAACAGGATAAGTACAAGTACGAGTACCTTTTCGGAGGGCGATTGGGAGATCAAGGTCGGAGGGAGCAGAATCTGGAGGCGAAGCAGAAGATGGCAGCGGTACACTGGTAGCCATAGTAGGTGCCGTAGTCACATGGCGCACACGACGAGAGTAAACTTTAAGGGGAGGAGGTGGAGGAGGTGGAGGAGGAAGGAAAGTTGATGGAGAAGTCTGATTGGGGGGGACAGATTCTAGCTGGCTGGTGGTATAGACTAGAAACTCATCATTAGAGAGTTCCAAAGAAGATGATGAAGATGAACTATGCTGAAAGAAGAGTGTTTCTTCAAAAAATGTGACATCTGGAGAGATAATATACCGTCCCAATGAAGGAGAATAACATCGATATCCTTTTTGTAACCGGGAATAACCCAGAAAAACACACTTGATTGATTTAGTATCAAGTTTTGAGACCTGGGAACGCATATCCTGGACAAAGCATGTGCAACCAAACACACGAGGCACAAGAGAGAACAAGGACTGAGAGGGGAATAAAACGGAGTACGGAATCTGACCATTAAGAACAGAGGAAGGCATACGATTGATAAGGTAACACGCAGTGGAAACAGCGTCTACCCAAAATGGTTTAGGAACCCCCATGTGAAATATTAAGGCTCAAGCTACTTCTAGTAGGTGACGATTCTTTCGTTCAGCTACACCATTTTGTTGAGGTGTATAGGGACAAGAAGTGTGGTGTAAAATCCCATGGCGAGATAAGTAAGTCTGAAAAGTGCTAGATAGATAGTCTTTAGCATTATCACTTCTCAGAATGCGTATATTCTTATTAAATTGAGTTTGAATTTCAGCATGAAAGGTACAAAATGCAGTAAACACATCTGATCGGGATTTCAAAGGATAAAACCAAGTAACCTGTGAAAAATCATCCACAAATGTAACAAAATAACGATGACCAAGTTTGGAAACGACAGGACAAGAACCCCACACATTAGTGTGAACTAAATCAAAACTAGACTCAACACTTTTATTTATTCGAGGAGGGAAATTTGTTCTATGATGCTTAGCAAACTGACATGCTTCACACTCCAAAACAGACTCTCGTGATAGACTAGGACACATTTTTTGTAGTACAGAAAGAGACGGATGACCAAATTGACAGTGAACTTTCAACAGAGACGAACTTGTGCATGCAACTGATCTCGGCACCAAGGATTCAAAAACATATAAGCCATTAACCAGTCTACCTTTACCAATAATCTGCTTCGTCCCAAGATCCTGAAAAAGACAATGAGTGGGAAAGAAAATAACACAGCAGTTTAGGGCTTTAGTAATCTGACTGACTGAGATTAAATTAAACGGAAATTGAGATAAATATAGAACAGAAGATAGAGAAAGGTTTGGAGAAAGAGTTGTTGTTCCAAGGCCATTGACAGATGCGGTTGATCCATTTGCTAAAGTAACATGAGACTGGTTAGCAGAAGAGGTAAATGAATCCAAAATACTTTCATTACCAGTCATATGGTCCGTTGCGCCAGAATCGATCACCCAATTGCGTGATGATGTAGAGAGGCATGCAGCTGGATTACCTGTATCAACTTGTGTGGTGGCAGATGAGGCTGTGAGAGAAAGTTGTTGTAGCCGAGCATATTCATCGACTGAGATAGTAACAGTGGAAGGAGTTGGTAGGATACCATCCTGGATAACCGTATTAGCAACACGCCTGGGAGGAAACTGTCCAGAAGTCTGTGGTGGACGACCATGTAATTTCCAGCAATTCTTCTTCACATGACCCTCAGCTCCACAGTGATAACATGTGCGAGAAGAATTACGAGTCCCTTCAGTAGTGACTGAATTAGTCCTTTTACCATGGCTCACATCACTGACTAAGGCAGCAGTATCAATTGAGTTCATCATTCTGGATTCTCCATCTTTGCACACTGGAAGGAGACGTCCATAGAGGTCAGAAAAACTAGGAAGGGTCCCACCAGACAGTATTTGACTCCTTGATACCTCATATTGTGGACCAAGCCCAGCCAAAACACCATGAACAAATGTTCGCTCCTCTTGTTCTTGCATACTCTTAACATCAGCAGTAATAGGGAATCGGGACCGCTTTTCCTCAAAAATCTGTTTACATTCATTATAGTATTGAAACAGCGTCTGATCCCTCATCTCCGGTCTATAGTAGTGCACCGGTAATTGATGAACATAAGAGAGATCTTGTTTACTGGCATACATAGACTTCAAGTATTCCCACATTTCTTTGACAGTATCACAATGAGTAATGATACTATCAATAGAAGGATCCAGGGTATTCTGAATTTGATTGAACAACCTATCATCCGCCATCATCCATTTTTTTCTTTCATCAGGATTACTTCTTGGAGGAGCCATTTCAGTTAGATGATCTCCCAGATCAAGACTATTAACGTATCTAGTAATAGTCCGTTTCCACTGCCCGTAATCTTTACTACCAGTCAGTTTTCTCTCGGTAATTCTAGCATTACCGACAGTAATCTCAGTCACACTCTTCTTATCATCACCCATGCTTGCAAACAACTAGGGCAAGAGTGATAACAAGAACAGGGTAAGAGAACTGGTGCAAATAGTAAAGATAGTGTCCAGAAAATCAGACCTGCGACAATTGTTCTGCACTATCCGGATTACCACGCCTGCGCCTGCGAACAACGTCCTGTGCCGCACAAAAGAGAGCTGAATCGAACCAGAGGGAGGGAGCAGAGTTGAACTTCGGGAAGTACTACCCGAAGAACCTGTGTGGCTCTGATACCATGTAAACTGAGTAATAAGAATTAAAGATGCAATGAAATCACTCTTCATTATCATTAGGTATGGCCAGTATAAATACATACAAGCTAGGGAATACAAAAAGGAAACTAAATCTGTCAGATTTACCTAGAATATTTAGTCTATCGCAGAGAATATATTAGCTACCATATATATACATAGAATATATTGACTATTAAATATGTATATTCTAACAATAAACAAACAAACCCTATTCCTGCATTGTTAACAGGAGACTTTGATAACATTGGACATAATTGAGGGATGATATTTCCAACATGATCTTCAATCAAGGGATGATACTTTTACAACATTTTAGCAAAGATTGCTATATTATTCCCGGAAAAAATGACACGGAGTAAATTTATAATTTATTTCACAATTAATGGATTACATTTGCAACAGTTAAAATGCATGAACACACACAATATGTATGATAAATGAGGGACCGATGTGAGATTCTCTATTTATGATTTAGCAAACTCCGCTCCTACATTATTAACGTCAACTACTACATTTACAACATGTGAAATTGAGGGTTGATATTTGCAACATTTTGCAAATAAATTAAGGGATGATATTTTTCAAATGCTTACCATAGTTTGTTACATTATTAACGTAAAAAATGACTAACTAAATTTATAATTTATTTCAAAATTAAGGGATGACATTTGCAAAGAAAAGAAAGAGATTACTTTTCAATATGTGTGATGAATGAAGGGTTGACCTCCCCATAGCGAAAACATTAGGCTACACAAGACCAAATTACTTCTTCTATCTATACATAGAAGGTATAATGCACCAAACTCCCGTGATATAAATTCTGCGCATAAGTCCCTTGTGATTTAAAAAATACGTCAAAACCCATGTGTTATACTCCCTCCATTTTTTAAACAAGTTCCCACTTTCCTTTTCGGGTAGTTCCCAAATTAAGTTCCCCTTTCCTTATTTGGCAAATTAACTATATCAAAACAATGCCAAACAGTGTCCAAACAGTGCCAAACAGTGTCCAAACAGTGCTCCAACAGTGTCAAAACAGTCAAGTTTACCCTCGGTAATTTTTTTCCCTTAAAAACTGTGAAAAGCAATGGGGAACTTGTTTTAGAAACGGAGGGAGTAATAAATCATGAGCAAAACTCCCTCCAAGATCAAATTTGATCACCATATAAAGGGAAAATAGTTGATATTTTTGTAAAATTTAGAGATCTTGACAATTTTATATGCATATTCAATGTGTAGGTGTTAAATTCGGTACGGTACTAGTTAAATTCGTTTCTGTTCTTTCCTTTTTTCGGTTCCTTATAAACAATTATTATCCTCCTAAAATGAACATGTTTTACCTTCAGTTATATAAAAATATTTGAATTTCATATCCTGAAAAGAATTGTCAAAGTTATGACAATTACATTATATATACATGATATCTCAATGTTCAAATATCACAAAAATATTAAAGTGCAAACATTAAATTTAAACATAACAAAAACATAAATGTTTAAAATAGGCATCAAGTGGCTAGCAAAATAATATTATTATATTAGTATTGCACCCTAAGTAAAAAGTACGTAGTAATAAACTGACCGGTAATATTAGTATATTACTATAAACAAATAACACCGCACTCAGCAACAACATTAATTCATTTTCCATCATTTGCAATGGAGCCAAAGACTCACTATTTTTTGGCTTGAGAATATGATGGAATAAAGCAAAATGACTCACTAAACTGTCTGCGCTTCTTTGTTATGAAGCAGCGGTCAGTCCAAGCAATTTTGGATGCATTGTTCACAATGGGTCATCCGGAAACAGTCTCTTTGTGCTTTAGTACAAGGGTAAGATTACGTACATCCGATCCTCCCTTACCCTACCATAGGTGGGACCGTGGGAGCCTTTGCGGCACTGAGATAATGATAATGATGAATTACATAACATACAATAAATATAAAAGTGGACTAAAGTAGTAAAATAACAACTATTCAGATTGGCCCGGTCCATAATACATAAGATATATTATGCCAAACAAATATTCCAGTCAAGAATTTCTTCACCGGAACGCCGTTTGGCCACCTCCATTGAGGTGCTTCCGAGTAGAAGTTTTTAATGAAATTTTGTGAGGATGTTCTACATGAAGTGTATATTATATCCACCAAATTTCAGATTAAACTTCAATCTGGAAGTGATCACATGATTTTCAAATAGTTAAATTTTTTGTTGAATGAGAGGTTTTGCACATGATCAAGCATAACACATGCGGTTTTTGAATCACAAGTAGAATAATATATCACGAGGGGATCGATGCATTAAACCCATCTCATAAAAGTTGGCCAGAGTAGATTTGCACGTAGAATAAGAAAGTAAGAAATTGTGCGGTTGAAATTTGTTATAAATGAGATCAGTTTTTTTTAGAATGAGATAGGAATATTATTAACTACAAATAAAGGAAATGACAAAGTTTTTTAGTACGGTCATATAAGAAAATTTGGCTAGATTCAGAGGGAGCATAATTTAGTTCCAGATCCTTTACTTTGACCAATTGATTTTTTCTAAAAGTAAGTAAAACACGAGTGAAAGGTTACTGGATCATGTATTGTGTAATCCTTCAATATCATGAAATCTCAAACATATATGAAGATATAGACCAAACTCTTGAAAGCCTTGCCCTACATCTAGAACCTTAATGAGAATACATAGCCACCGTTCAATTAATTCTCTCGCAAAATAAACCTTCAACATGAATTGACATTTTCAATATGGTTTCTTCTGTGCATTCTGTAGGAGATTTAATTACAGATGATGTGCAAATCATATTGGGAGACGCAAAACCTGAGTCCGAGCATGAAAGTGAAGTTAAGGAAACAATAATCAAACTTTTGGAACATGACTTGGGTCTTGAGGTTGCTTCCACGGCATCCAAAGACAAAATTTGTCGAAATGACGCGGATGAATCTTCAAGCGAGGAGGGGAATAGGGAAAGAGATAATTTGACATCTCAAGTGTATTCTCATACAAGGAGACCTGCACTTATGCAAAGATTGAAGATAACTAAGGAATCATTACGTCGTTGGCTTCACAGAAGAGTGGATGCTTTTGAAAGACAACCTTCTAGATGTGGTGCGTGAACAAGTAATCAGAGATTCTTTCTGTACTTTGATATGTAGAGTTCTAGAGTTCCTTTGCATCTTTCTTACACCTGATCAATATGCTCTGCTTTGTTTAACTGTCATGTTATATATATTAAAAAAAATGTGTACACTATTCTTGAAGAAAATAATATTTACCCACCACTTTTTTAGGTTTGCAACTTTTGTTAGAATTTCCAATTAACTTCTTTTGAGTTTTGCAAATTGCAACTTTTGTTACAATTTCCAATTGGCTTTTTTATCTGAGTTTTGTCTAAAAATGTGATTAAAAATTGGGATGCGTACTGAATGTTCATTCTTGTGGGATTCAATTGATTTCGGGCATGATTGTAGAAGATTGTCTAGTGTACTCTAATAAACAATTACAATCTAAACATAGAGATGTAAGAGTATACCAGAGATTAAGCAAAACTCGATAATGGCAACAATAACTCTCGATGCAGCTATATGTGAATGTGATGCTCCAATGCCTTACTTAATCTACTCCTTGACTCTAGAGCCTCAAATCCCTCACTACTTCATTTGAAAGTGTACAGAAAAAAGGGTCAGATAGGCCCCTGAATTTACATAAAAAAAATCAAATAAGCCCTTATATAGGAGGTTCTGTCCGGCCGTCCCCATTTGGGGTGGTTCCCGGTGGATTTTTTTGATAAATTTTTTTGAGAATCTTATTCATTAAGTCTAGTTTACTCATACCAAATTTCAGTTAAAACTTCAATCTGGAAGGCATTCAAATGAATTCTTGAAGATTACTGCGCAGTTAAAAGCGTAGTTATTTTCAAGAATTCATTTGAATGCTTTTCCGATTGAATTGTTAGCTGAAATTTAGTATGAGTAAATTAGACTTAATGAATAAGATGCTCAAAAAAATTCATAAAAAGAGTCCATCGAGAACTGCCCCAAATGGCGACAATCGGACAGAGCCTCCTATATAAGGGCTTATGTGACCTTTTTATGTAAGTTCGAGGGCCTATTTGACCATTTTTCGAAAGTGTAAACTATTCTCGAACTAACCTAAATGAGTATTGAGTACATAGAGTGATCTAGCAAAATCTCCAAGAGTTCTTGTGTAAAAGAATGTATAATATATACTATCTATAAGATTTGAAAACCTTTAAGTAAGGAAGGTTATTATTTCTTCATAAATGTGATGTGATTTTAACTTTATTTTTCAACCATAAATACTCCGTAATTCCGTATATTTATAACCATTGTAATTTCCTTGGATATCAACTAGCCGTTCAACTTTGAAACGAGGAAAAGTCTATACCATCTTTTGAACACAAAGGTTCACTTAAAGGTCAGCGTGTTAGCCGTTAAGTAAAAGAAAAATGCTAGAAGTACAAACACGCTTACAAAAAAACTTACAAACAAGTGATGTGACTATTCTAATTATCATTGATGTAAAAGTGTTATAAATATGATGTGATATGTTAAATAACGTGATGATGCCACATACCCCTTTTGTAAGACTTTTTGTAAAAGTTTTTGTACCTCTAGCATAACTCTAAGTAAAAACCATGGTCAATCGCAATTTATACCGTGGGATCGACCCATCGTGAGCATGATGTGCTGATCCCAAATCTACGTCGTTTTATCAATTAAAAAAGGGAGCATAGATCCGTGGGAAACCATATCCATCATCGTAGATCCGAATTGAACTCTGCGGCCGTCATCGCTTGGTCGCAGAGTCCCATCATAGAGCAAGATCGTTGGTTCTTCTCCTTGCTTTTTGTTGTCTCGCTAGGAATCTGTAGCCGAACCTGTAGAAACTCAATAATCACTTTGTGTCTTCTGAGACGAGGCTTTTGTAGGATGAGTTGCGAGGACCATAGGATGGGTTGCGAGGTTGCTGGTCATGGGAGTATGGGACGAGGTTACTTGTGTGAGGCAACATACTCGAAGCTGCTAGTCCAGGAGGACGCTGCTGCACCAGTTTCTTTTTATGTTTGTTGGACTCAAGATACATTTTGATGGACACAATTTACATTTCCATTGGTCTCAAGTTACATCTTCGTAAAGCCTTTTTACATTTCAATAAGCTAAAGTTATATTTCCCAAGTGACATTTGATTTGTTTCCAAGTTAAATTTCAATTTAAGCAGTTTACATTTTAACGAGTTACATTTGAATGAGTGTAATCTACATTTTGATTAATTTGAAGTTACATGTTGATTCACACGATTTATATCTCATATAACTCTATGAACATGATGCTCACCCTGCACTAGGGATGGACTAAACCGGCCCGGGCCGGCCCAGAACCGGCCCGGCCTGGCCCGGAACCGGTCCGACCCGCTACTGTGCGGGCCCGGACCTCCCGCCTTTTAGACCGTTTGGGCGGGTCGGGTGGGCCGGGCTCGGGCCCAGGTTTGGGAGAACCGGCCCGGGCGGTTCGGGCCGGGCTCGGGTCACTTTTTTTGTTTTTTCATTTTTTTTTCTTTTCCTAGGGTAGGGCTGGGTGTTTTGGGGAGGTTTGAGAGGTAAGGAGTGGGGGGGGGGGGGGGGGGGGTCAAGGGATAACAAGAAAGCAAAAAAAAAAATAGACATTGAACCGGGCCCGGCCCGGCCCGGTTAGGCCCGGACCCGGTATCAACCCGGGCCGGTTCTGGGCCCAATGATTTACAAAAAAGCCCGGCCCGGAACCGGACCGGCCTGGAACCGGACCGGCCCGGGTCCATCACTACCCTGCACCGCTCCCATGGTATAACGCCTTATGGTCAACACGGATATCAACAGATTTGATTCCAACCATTTAAGCCCAAACTCACCGAACATTCCATAAACAATTAAGCATCTGTCGATGTGGTCCGTTTCTCCAAAATGCTATCAATTGTTCCAAAAGGTGGAATCTCCCACCCCAGGAGCCCCCCACCCTGACCCGACAGGATGGTGGGGAGATTAGTCACGGTGACTCAGTCAGCAAAATGGCAGTAGGCCCATACACCCGTGCGCACCAGAGGCCAAGCTTTATTTCAGGTTCTGTGACCTCCACCCGGTCGCTGCGGGGATTCGAACCTTGGTCCATTATTCCAAATCTCATACCACTCGACCAACTAAGCTACCCGTGCGAGTTCCAAAATGTTATCAAAACACTATGATATGGTAACTTGGTAGTCTGGCAGTGAAAAGATCGTTTGAAAGGCACATTTTTTTTTTCATTTTTACTCATAGTGACTATAGGTTTAGGTTATGAGGACAAAATGTCGAGATGCATATATATATATATATATATATATATATATATATATATATATATATATATATATATATATTGCATTATACATGAATAATCGATAGTTGAGCTCATTAAAAGCGGACCAAGAATAATTGAGACTATTATCGTCATCTTTTTCTTTCAAATAGGCATGGACCAGCCGGTCGGCGGTCCCAAACAAGTTTGGAACCATATCCGACATTGTTTGGGACCGGACCACATCCGTTTGGAGCGGGTTCAGGTCTGGAAGTGCAGCGACCCAACCAGCCCTAAAGCGGTTCATGGTCTCGATTTGCAGTTTTGAGGACTAAACCATGCGATTCTAGTCCCGGTTTCAACCCCGACTGGGATTTATTTTAGGTTTCGATCCGGCCAAAAAAAATTAAGAGAAATCGGGTCCGGGATCATACCAGCCGGGTACTCGGAACATGCCCAGACCCGATAAAAAGCAATTCAAGTATGGGCTCAACGATTTCTTTTGGACGGTGGCAGTCTCGTCCTGGAATCGGGACAGGACCGACCCGAGTCAATGCCTACTTTCAAACCTGGTTAGATTCCTAGCAGTGTAACAAATATGGACCATGGCAGATTTGATAATCTCATGAAAGTTTATATTGTATCAAATAAATGTTCATTCAATTTGCTAAACATTAATGTATTTCATTTTTCAAGTTTATATTGTTATCCTACTCAAAAATTCAAATAAATTAGTTAGTTATACAAAAATAGTAACCAATTGTCTTTCATTCGACATTTAAGTTGTTTCTTCTATAGTGTTAAGCGCATTAATATTTAGTAATTACTCACTCCATCCCACTAAACTTTCGACTTGCATTACGAATAATAAAGTAAAAACTTTGTGGTTAAAATTTGTGTAGAGAAGAGAAATAACTTAACCACATTTTCTTACTTAAAACGGAGTTGGAAAACTCCTTTGGAACGACTAAATAAGGAAATTTGACAAAGTTTTGTGAGACAGGGTGAGTATAACATAGAATGAGTTTGATGCATTTTTCAAATCATAAGGTGTTAATCCACAAAATATATACGGAGTATATCACATAGGGTTTTACATATTAAACTCATTCTGCAGGTTAGGGTTATTTGATGTGTATATCAATTTTTTAAATAGTAGAGATGCTGATTGCTATATCATCCTAGCTGGCCGGTAGTGTGTTATTCTCACTATATGAATTCAAAATTCATAAATAGACCAAGAGTGGAAGATCCGGAATTAATTGAACAAATACACAGTTTTTAGCAAGCTAGAGTGCTAGACATTTCCTTCTGCAGATGACCAAAATATGTCAAACCCTGATCATATTTTAGTCTTCCACTCCTCCCCAAACTAAAGAATCTCCATGTCTGGTTTTCACGTACTCCACAAAACCTTGCTCCATAGTGATTCTTTGAGACCCTTTTTATAGTCCTCAAGACTTCAAGAGGTCATGCTCTTTCCGTCTCATTTAAAGGTTCTCGTCCATTATTCACCGGTTAACGTGCATTGTTCTTAATCTTTTACTTTATACATCCAACTTTTATCAAATTTATTTATTTTATCAGGTATTATAGAACTTTTAATGTAGTTTCTGAATATGTAAATTTTATTTAATAAAAATAATTCTACAAATAACAGGGATCAATTAACTTTATGATCAGTCAAACAATATAAATCGCATGAGAACTTTTAAATGGGACGCAGTGAGTATTTCTTAATATTTGTAGTCAATGGTGGGGCATGTACGGGAGTTCAACGCTACACTTGGAAACATGGCCATATGAATTTTGCCACAAGCATCTTCATCATCTTCCGGATATTAAAGAAATTAGAGCAATTTTGGATTCATAATGACTTCTATGTTGTAAAAACCGAACCGGGAAGTGATCCGGGCAGATGACTGAGTCACGGGTCAACCCGGACCAGCGGGTCAGCCCGGTCAATGACCGTTAAACCCGGTCAACAACTATACATATAATTAATTAATTAATTATATAAAGATTAAATTCCTAATTAGAAACATTATATCCCTTCATAATTTAATAATGATAATACAATATAAGCAATGTAGAAAAACTATTGTATTTAAGTATATTAATTTTAACAAAATATAAAATACATTGGGATTTAGATGGGTAATAAATATGAACATAATACCAATTACAAAATCAAATAGAATACAACAAAGTTGGAAGATTATATACGGGAAGTACAATTGCAGCATTGGTGTGTATTTATTAGTATTTTTATTATAAATAAATTAATTAATTAAATAAGAATAATAAAACTATTCCAGACTTAAACATTATAATTATTGCTAATCGACCATAGTAACCAACAAGCCAGTGTAGCACGTTGGTCCGCAGTTCAAAGTTCAAGCGCTAAGCGCGAGTTCCATTATCGTTGGCCAACTATTTTACGGATTCTTTCCATTTTCTGGCTTTGGGAAGAGTCGGGTCCGTCCCGGGTTTCTGTGGGTCGACTGTTAATTCTGGACCGGACAGAAGACCGGGTGACTGGTTTCCGCGTTGAACCGGCCGGTCCAGTTCGGGTCTTACAACATAGAGTCTGGCTTAGCATGCAATTCAATTTGTGGCTAACATTCGTTTACTCACTCAATCACAATCATTCATTTGCATTTTAATCTAACTTTCTTAAACTTTGATCTAAGTCAAATCGAGAAGAAATTTATAAAACGGTGGGAGTATACTTCCTCCGTCCCATATTTAACTCCGGTTTTGACCGGGCACGGATTTTAAGATAGTGGTATTTGTGTGGTGGAGAGTTATGCAGTGGAGAGAGAAATGTGTAAGAATTGTTGTGAACCACATATTCTTTATCAAAAAGGGAAAAAAGAGATAAATTTGGGACGGACCGAAAAGGAAAGAATGAAGATAATTCCGGGACGGAGGGAGTATATTATTTCAAGCATGACACAAGCAGCTGAGCACTTTAAGAAAAATAGTACAAAATTCATTATAAATAAAAACTAATCGGCCAACTAAAAAAATGAAATCATGCTTAATAAATTTGACACAAAAATTATTTTTTTTGATGTTATGTTAATACATAAATAAGTTCAATAAGGGACAGATAGTGTATGTACTTAGAAAATGTGAATTGTGAATGCAGAATTATACTCCCTCCGTCCCATAATTAACTTCGGTTTTGACTGGGCACGAGGATTAAGATAGTGAGATTTGTGTGGTGAAGAGTTGTGCAGAGGAGAGAGAAATGTGTAAGAATGGTTGTGAACCACATATTGTTTATCAAAAAGGGAAAGAAGAGATAAATTTGGGACGGACCGAAAAGGAAAGAATGAAGATAATTTCGGGACGGAGGGAGTATCTAAAAATGAATTTATGTCAAGTGTAAAATGTAATGAAGTATATTATAACTCTAATAATTTAATGAAGTATAGATTAAAAATATAAATGTATGTACATATTATGTCAATTTAAATTTGATTAATACTTAAAAAGAAAATAAAGAAGATAATGGAATGAAAACTAAAATTTGGAACAAAAAAATGAAGGAAGGATTCAACCTTCAACATAACGGAGGGACTTCAAACGCACGCGACTCCATTACCATCCCACTAGACTGCTCTTTGGTAGCATATTTCGTAATTTTGGTATATATTATATATATTCAGCACAAAAATATATGTATAATTGAATTTTTAAATAAATATATATGGAGGTTGGGTGGGGGTTGAGTGGGGGCAGCTGCCCCTCTGCCCCCACCATTGATACGCCACTGCGAACAGGAGAAGCTTGTCTAATATGCTTTATAATACTCCGTAATAACATGAAGTTTTAGATGTAGCGGATGTAGCGTTAGGCAAGTGAAAATGATTAAGATATATTCTTGTTGTCCCTTAAAACTTTGTCAACTTTTCTGTTTTGGTTGTCCCACTAACTTTGTCATCTTCCCTTTAAAGTAAAGAATTTGTAATTTCAATTAATTCTTTCTTCTCTGCACATACTTCAACAGTTCAACCACATAATTTTTACTTTATTAATCTTCGTGCTGGTCAAACCTGACAAAGTTTTAAGGGACGAAGAGAGTACTTTCCTATCGGACTCACCCGGTGTACTTGGGAGGGGCATGCTGGGCCAGCCCCATGCCCACACCAAGTTCTATTAAAACATGTTAATTTATGTGGGGGATATGTTTATGAATGAATTCTATAGTTAGTGAATGCATACATCCTATATCCCATCCATTGCATGATCGACGAAATGGGTAGGAAAACATACTGATATCATTTGTGGGCAAAGATGACAGTCTTGAACTACATAGGCAATCATTTGGTATTAGTAGACATGTTACATGTATTCTGTAATTCCACACTATTACTTTGATGGTACAAACTACTTGGAATTATGGTTCCAATGCTTTTGTATGTAGATTTGTGTAATAAATAATTACAAATATTCTACAAATTTTATGTGCAATTTCAAAGATATAACGATTTGGACACTTCGATATTTTTGGTAAAATCAAGATGCAGACATATTCATCCTTGCATGCAACAAGCCCTTAGGATATCAGTGATTGGTGGATCATCTCCTGCTTCTTTATCCTGCATACAAAATGTTCAATGAAATACTTGGCTGCATATCAGAATTGAACATAGTATGATATACTACCTCCACACTCCTATGATAACACTGTGTTTGGACTTGTTAATTAGGAAAAAGCAAATGAAGTTGGAATGACAAAGTTGTAGATTAGTAAATGGTATAAAATACCTAAATCATCCATTGCTTTTATGGTAGCAGTGAAAAATTAAGTAAAGTTGAGATGACAGAGAGGTAGGTTCAAGTAAAAGAGTAAAATATGAATGACATGTAGAGTCATTTGCCGAAAAAGGAAATTTAACCCTTATTTTGGGACAACCCAAAGAAGAAATAGATGAAGAGGAAATACGTGACTATTATTTTGGGACAGGGAGTACAAAAATAGCTAAAACCCTATTCAAATCTTTAAAATGCCAAAATGTAATGCCGACAATGTCACATCAGTTAAGGAAAAATAATAATCAGATTCGCTACTTTCACAAAGAATACTTGTAAGTAGGTTGAGTGTTGTTTATCCTTATCTCCTTGGCAGTGTTTATAATTGCACAAGGTTTTTACGCTTTGAGGCCCGCCTTAGTGATTTAAGGAAAATTGTATAACGCAATAAAGTAAACACCAATATTACCCAATGTCAAGGCATTGGCCTTTTGGATTGAGACATAAACAACTGTATTTTTAGGGTTTAGTCAATGACATATTACACAATGTCAATGAGCTGTGCGCCTGTGCCAATTCAAAAAACCATCACATGTTTCTTATAAATTTTGATTCCTCACTTCATTTCATCCACAATCACTTTCCTTTTGCGATTCCTCTACAACCCCTCATTCTCTAGATATCATTAGCAAAGTTCTCTTTTATTTATTTGGGATAAGGGTCAAATTGAACACTATGATTACATGTGAATCTCATATTGGACACTAAGGTTTCAAATGGACCAAATTGGACACTATGATTACATGTGCATCTCATATTGGACACTGAAGTTTCAAATAGATCAAATGGACCAAATTGGACACCCACCAAAGAATTTTCACATTTGCAAGCTATAAGTATTCCTTAATCCTTTTTCCCTTTGTTTTATGTACCTACTAATTAAAAATAACTTCATTCGTGTATTTAGATTTAGAATATATAATTAGATGTTCCAATTAAGAAAATCTATCATAATGTTATTGAATTCTTTAATATTGTTAAATCAATTTAACAAATCGATATTTCCCAAACTTTCATAAAAATCATATGAATGAAGTCCTAAATAAATTTTTAACTTGTTAAATATAAGAAGTTATTCATTAAAGTCCAATTAGATATTCTAAAACCCCAAATTAAATATTCCAAAATTATATTCATAAATTAAATTAGTTTATTTTCACCAAAATGGAAAGGAAAAATAAGACTAGCGATTTGTATTAAAGGAAGAAGAAAATCATAAGTGAGTGTCCAAAAACTATGAAATATGAGATACACATGTAACCATAGTGTCTAATTTGGTTCATTTGAAACCTTAGTGTCCAATCTGAAGGGTTAGTAGTCTCGCTTGGTGAAATTCTGGAGACCTCTTTGTTTTACCAAGGATTTGGAGAACAGTTGTTCCAAGGGACATCTAATAGACGTGCAGACAGTGAAAAGAAGGTGGTGATTGTCAATGAAGGTGTTGGGGATGCTGTAGGATTATTATGCTCTATGCGCCTAGTGGACTGCTTGTCTCAGGAACATGTATTTAGAAGTCATCAGTTGCTAAGAATTATTGTAGATGCTGGCACAGGAACTACTGCCAGTGGTTTAGCACTTGGAGTTGTTCCCCAAGGACTTCCATGGAAAGTAACTGCAGACATTCTAGCTGACCTCATTAAGGGGTATAGAAAAGAGGGGGAAATTCTAATAACTGGAATTAGTTTGACTTCTAATGTTTCTCATCCTAACCAATTCTGGAGGAAAGGCCATGATGGAATGATGGAATCGTTCACTGGGTAAAATGTCTCGCTCCAAGAAAAGTTGGCAATGTGTTGAGAGATGAAGCGAAGAAATGTTCAATAATTGCCCAAGAGACATGTATTCTGGTTGATCCTGTATACACTATACACTCTAGCCACCTGGGAATCCGCAATGCAATTTTTCCACCATGAAAGTTCCAAGGCAGTCGTGATGCTTCACACAGGAGGAACACTTGGTGATGATGAAGCTGACTTTGTATTCTCAATTGGAGATTCTGTAAGAAATCAGACATGGGACAATGAAAAGATAAAAACCTTGGCAAAAAGGATCATTGTGTTGACAAAGAGATTGAGAGGCTACCAAAAAGAAGAAAACTATCCGAACTGAAGTATTGGGAAGGAAGAGGCGCGAGGATGAAGTTGAATGGCATGGTTGTTTCTTACTCCCCACCTTGACGACAAGGTGGATGTCAAAGGGGGGAGTGATGATACGAACCTGAGCTTATGGCAAGGGAATTAATAGAAATAATATTGAATATTTTAATAAGCAGTGATAAGGAAGTGGGGCTGGGCCAAATAATTAGATAGATTGAGGAGAAGCCTCTTTGGGAAAAAAATAAATTGAAGGAATTGAATAGGGAAAGGCGGACTGGGATTTTAGAAAACTGGGATCTGGGAGAGATCGAGGCCCTCTCGAATTGGTCTCAGCTGTATTCCTTTTGTTTTCTACAACATCAATAAAATTTCTACTCCTACTTTCTGTGTACGTGTCAAAAAATTATGCGACTAGTCGCACATTGCAAGAATCATCATCAATATTCAACTATTATCAATGCTATTGATCTCCCTCCCATACATTAATGGACATACAAAGTTACAAACACAGGAAAATATGCGGTACGAGGGAGAAAGAGTAGGGGAATAAGACCTAACCTTGTGGATGTACAATAAGTTAGTTTTACCCGGACCTGCAACAATAGTTCCACCTTGTTGCCTGTAAATTTAGTCAGCACAAGAGGCTTGGATTCATTGTATCCATAGTTTAAAAAAGCAACGCAAGAAAAAATAATTTATCAGGAGAAAATGCTTTCTTATGTAAATTTAAGAGTTTTATGGTACCCTAACAGATTATATACATACTTATAATTAAGTGGAGAATAAACTTCAACCATACGGTCTATAATTACATACCAACCACCTCTTTCTCTTGTATCTTTCTCAGATGAAAGTCCCCAATCCTGTCTGTAACCTTGGATAATTTTCAAGGTTACAGATTATATCCATGTAAGCTTGGATAATTTTCAGATTATATCCATGTAAGCTTGGATAATTTTCAAACCAGCCTAGAAAGGTTAGAATTAATATATATGATATCTTAAAAGTTTAAAAATCTGTTTCAGCAAGGAAATTTTTAAACTTTATATACCCCAGGAGTGAATGTGGTTGAAACGCCAGACACAAATCTTAATGCTGTGTATGATGCATGGCTGGGGTCCGCATAAATTTCTAAGATACATAAAAAATTATGTGAAAACACTAAAATAACAAAAACGTAGAAAGAAGAAGCCTTTGAAATCCTTGATGATCTTACCTCCTCTGAATTCAGTTTGTGCACGGAATGTCTTTGCCTGAAAAGAGAAACACCTTTCGTAAATGATGGAGAATGGAACTTAGAATAAGGGCCAAATAACCTGTTAAATATAGGAAAAAGAATGATGGTATAATTGGCATCTAATTTTTCATTATCATGGTGCAAGAACATTCCTCTAGATACAGATTCCATTTTCTTCTCTTTGGTTTCTAACATTTCTTTAGGGTCTGATTGGAACTCAATAAACACTAAGGATAGGAGAATAGGAAGGAAACTGGAAACATAAAGGAAAGTTGGAGGGAAATGTAATTTGAAGGAAAGTAAAAAGATTCCCTCAAACTAAATAAATTAATGGAGGAATTGGAGTTTGCACCCCACTTTTTCAACCAAATTTGAGTTTGAGTTGGATATTTCAACCAAATTTGAGTTTGAGAAATCATTGGCAGTTGCACCCAAAAGTTGAGAATTTGCACATCATTTTCCTATCAAATAGGATTCGCACCCCTTATAAACATATTTTTGTAACTGTGGGGTTTAAATAATAATGATTTCAAAATTGGGGGTGAAAACAACTCAGCTTTAAATGAAAAGTGGTATGAAAAATCCATTTCCCCCTAATGTTATTTTTAGATAACTGTTCAAACTCATTTTATAAATTCATTCTATTATATAAAGACTGAATTCTAAATATATATATATATATATATATAATTATAATTTTTTTTCTCTTTAAATCAACCATGATCTAAAGTCTAAACATACCCGTAGGGCAGGTTTGAGGACAAGAAACTGAAACACATAGAAATCAAAGAGCTTGATAGAGAGTAAGGAAGTATCAAGAGATCCAAAACAACAACCCATACTGTTCAGATAAAAGAAAATCAACAATGAGGGTTGAGGGCACATGGAAAGACAGACTAGTTACAGTAATAAGCACCTGATCAACATTACCCGGCCCAATTAAGACAAGTGCCACACCCGCCGCATCCATTTTATCCTACCAAGAAGAAAAAAGAATTGAATGATTTGATCAACTTAAACTTGGAAAAACTTAAAATTAAGGATTTCAAGTTTCTGTGTAGACATACAACCCACTATTACCTTTACTGCAGCAAGATCATCTGCTCTTTTGCGGCAAAGCACACAACTGTTTTAGAAAAAAGAGGGGGAAAGTTTGATATATCTTTACAATGATTCTCTGAATTCTTAACTATTTGAACTGTAAATGAAGATTTTTTACCCAAAATGGCGGGCAAATGCAACAACCGCTCTTCTATCTTTCCACAAATCAGAAATAGGAACTCCTTTTCCACTCAAATCATACACTTTCACATTGTCCAACACATTCACATTCTTCTCATTCAAAACATTTGACTCAGTTCCTACCTCACCCCCCAAAAAAGGCCAGAGTAACAGTTAATCACATAGTGAAGTTTGAACTCAAGTAAAATACGTAGTAATATAATGATACTCTATGTAAAAAAAATAACCGTATTTAAATAGTTTTTTATTTTGAAAAAAGTTCTACTTTGTAAAATTTTCATAAAACTGAGCAAGTTTTCATTTAATCATCTAAAATTAGTAAAAAAAAATAAAAAATACTTGTAATCTTTATGAGTAAGAACAGGAATACAGGATACCAAGACAAAGAGTGTACACCTTGCCATTTTTTTTTTTCATCTTGCCAAAATTATATATTTGTACTTTGACCAACGAAATATGACTCTTTATTGGGGAGAGAGTGAGGATAAGCAACGATTAGGCCATCATCAACTATCAGTAATGAGCAATAGGGATTAGGGAAAGGTCCCTAGAACTAAGTTATACGTAATAGAATGTTTAGGATACTTGTTTCCTAGTATATCTCAAACTCTTCTATATAAATCTATCTGTCAGGACTCCTAATGGAGTACCCTTTTCCCAAATTCTCACATGGTATCAAGAGCTTAGGTTTAATTTTTTCTTTCTGCTCCTTCTCTCACCTCAATTTTCCGCCGCCTCCTCAATCTCCAACTGCGGCTATGGCTTCTGCGGATTCTTCACCGCCGCCCCACGGTCAGGCTTCTTCTGCAATTGACGTGCCGCCATGCTCTGCAGATATCCCATCCGGCGCCATCTCCTCCATAATGACGCAGCCGGCATCCTCCACCGTGATCCCCTCCATTCCAGAGCAGTCCTCCTTTATGCCGACCAACTACTCCCTCTTTCATAATCAGCCGCCTCACTTTCCTTGGCAGACTGCTTCGATTCCTAATCCTACAGGTCCATGGACGCCAGGTATGCCTCACTTCCCACCCGTGCCGGTTCCATCTCCTGAAGCCTCCTGGCCAATTGCTCCTCCGCCGACGCCACGCCCGCAGCCGCCAGTAACCACTCAATTTTTCGGTCCCTCCTTTGCTGGTTCCCCGGGTATTGTCAGACCTACTGACAATTCCCTCTTTGGCTCTCCTATGGCGTCGCTAGCACAATCAGTTTTTCACGGCATAGCTAATGTCTGCCACATTGTGACAATTAAACTCAAGGCTGTGGAAGATTACCTTACCTGGCGCACGCAATTTGAATCTTTTTTGGTGTCTCAGGGACTTTTTGGCATTCTTGATGGTTCCATTCAGGTACCTCCTATGTACACAGTGAATTTTAATAATCACCAAATCATTAATACTGACTACTATCATTGGCTTAAAGTAGATCAAACAATTCGTTCCTAGTTGTTTGCTACTCTCACTCGGGATGTATTAACTGATGTGCATGATATTAAACATTCAGCTGGTATATGGGATCGTTTACAAACTCGTTTTATGTCTGCTAGTCTACCTAGAGCCATGGAGCTTAAGCGTACTTTGAATTCTATTAAAATGAAAGAAAATCAATCCATGGAAAATTACTTACGTGATATTAAAAATCTGGCTGATGCTCTAGCTGCAATAAATTCCCCTGTGACTGATAAGGAATTATTGCAAAGTACTATGTATGGACTTGGACCTGAGTATAGGTCGATTGTGGGCACCATATCTTTATTTCCGCATGAATTTACCCCTCACATTTTGCATCCTAGACTTCTTAAGGCTGAGCAACATATACTTCATGAGCGCCTTCAGGAGTCCTCCAACTTGCAGCAGGCTTTTGGTGCGCACGCGGGTCAGCAGGTTCCGCAACCACACGCATACCGCGGCAGAGGAGGCCGCAGCAGAGGAGGCCGCGGGAGAGGGGGTCGCGGCAGGGGGTGTGGCCAGCAGCAAAATTTTATCAACAACCTCCTGCCTTTGGTCAGCCGCAGTACCAACAGCCGGGTGTTCCAGCCGTCCCGGCACCTTCGGCCGCAGGGGGTGGTGCTCCACCGAGACCTACTAATGCCACTTCGGGTAAATCTGTCATGTCCACTTTAAATATTAATGCTAAATCTACTTCTGCTACTCACTTTCATCATGCAGGTTTCCCGTCAGCTGAGGGTATTCTTGGGTCTGTTCCTTCCCCAATTGTGTGTCAGATTTGTTTCTCTGCAGGTCATTCGGCGTTGCACTGTCCGTCTCACTTTTCACATTCTTCTGTGCCTGCTTTGGTTGCCCCCAGTGGGGTCTAATGACGTTTTGTGGTACCCGGACTCAGGGGCTTCTGCTCACATGACTTCCTCTGAAGGTATTTTGTCCAATAAATCCCCTTATTATGGCTTCATGACTGTTAGTGTTGCGAATGGTACAAATCTCCCCATTGCTAATATTGGAAATATTAAATTAAATACTCTCAGCCGCCCCTTTGTCATTAAACTCTGTTTTTCATGTGCCTCAAATTAAATTTAATTTACTCTCCATTCAAAAACTATGCGCTGATAACAACTGTGTTGCTATTTTTGACAAAAACTATTCTTTTGTTAAGGACAAATCCTCGGGGGCAGTTTTTCTTCAGACGCGTCATAATGACCATCTCTACCCTATCAGCCTCAATATGTCTGCACCTTTTGCTTTAGCTTCCATCACTTCTTCTGGCCCTGTGTGGCATCGTAGATTAGGACATTGTGGTGAAACTATTTTGCGCCTGTTGCGCAGTAGAAAACTTATTTCTATTTCGTCAAATTTTGAACATGACTGTGTTTCTTGTCGTTTAGGTAAATCCCAACGATTACCGTTTTCGGATGCTAGTCATACTTCTTCTGCACCATTACAATTAATTCATTCTGATGTGTGGCAATCACCTGTTTTATCAAATTTAGGATTTAAATATTTATGTGTGTTTTATTGATGACTTTTCTCGTTTTACTTGGATCTATCCCTTGCGCACTAAAAGTGAAGTTTTTCATCAATTTTGTGTCTTTAAACTTTTAGTTGAAAGTTTGTTTAACTCTAAAATTAAAGTTTTTCAAAGTGATGGAGGGGGTGAGTTTGTTAATTCTCATATGCAACAATTTTTTGCTAAAAATGGCATCTATTTTCAAAAGTCTTGCCTAATACTCCTCAACAAAACGGTGTAGTTGAACGCAAACATCGACATCTTTTAGAATTTGCTCGGACTATGCTTCTTACAGCCTCTATTCCTAGCACCTTTTGGGTTGATGCTATTTTTACAGCCGCATATATTATTAACAAACTTCCTACTCCTAATCTCTGTGGTGTTTCTCCATATGACATTCTTTTTCAAAAACCTCCTGATTATAGTTTTTTACGTGTTTTTGGATGTGCGTGTTATCCTAATTTTTCTGCATCCTCTTCAAATAAACTTTCCCCTCGCTCTGTTCAATGTGTTTTTCTTGGCTATGCGTCCGGTTTTAAAGGTTATCGTTGTTTTGAACCCAAGTCTGGCAAAGTCTTTGTTAGTAGACATATTCGTTTTCATGAAAATATTTTTCCATTTACCACTTTGTCTTCCTCTACGGGTCATGCTTCCACATCCTCGCTTCCTATCTTTGATGATTTTACTCTTCCCAACACCACCTCCACTAACGGTATTCCCAATTCAGTTCATTCACCCCACCTAGCTCCCCCGGTAACATATAGCGCACCTGTGTCCTGCCATACACCGCCAGTAAACTCTCATCCACCACCTTCTCCGCCTATAGCGTCAAACCGCATCCCTAGCCCATCCCCTGTCCCTCCGGAATCCTCCCAGCTAGACACTCATCTTACTGCCTCTTCCGATTTCTCCCCTACTCCATCCCCTGCACCTCTCTTATCCACGGCAATTGTGCCATCGACCACTGCTCCTCGTGCACCACTCATAAACAATCACCCAATGCAAACCAGGGCGAAATCGGGAATTTTTAAACCCAAAACCATTTTCAACTTAAACACGGTTGTTTTATCAGCTGATCCTACTTGTTTTTCTGAGGCTACTAAACAGTTAAAATGACGCGAGGCCATGGCTGAGGAATTTAATGCTCTTATTTCTAATAAAACTTGGGATTTAGTTCCGTTTGATAACACTAAAAATGTTGTGGGCTCTAAGTGGATTTATAAGACCAAGTATAATTCAGATGGTTCCATTGAGCGCCACAAAGCTCATTTGGTTGCTCAGGGGTTTAATCAACAGGCAGGTGTAGATTTCTCTGAAACTTTTAGTCCTGTCATAAAACCCACTACTGTTCGTATTGTTCTTTCCTTAGCCATTTCTTTGGGGTGGGTCATTCGTCAATTGGATGTCAAAAATGCGTTTTTACATGGTCACCTTACTGAGGAAGTCTATATGCGTCAGCCGCGAGGTTTTATACATCCTTTATTTCCTAATCATTTATGCAGATTGCGAAAAGCCATTTATGGTCTTAAGCAAGCCCCGCGGGCATGGTTTCACCGTTTTAGTAGTTTTTTATTGTCCCATCATTTTTCATGCAGCAAGTCAGATAATTCCTTATTCATTTATCGGCATAATAATAATGTCCTTTATCTATTATTATATGTAGATGACATAATTATCACTGGCAATTCTACTGCTGCAATCACATCTTTTATTCAACTTGTTGCTAAGTATTTTGCCATGAAAGATCTCGGTGATCTTCATTATTTTTTGGGAGTTCAGGCAGTGCGTTCCACTAAGGGTTTATTTCTTTCTCAGCATAAATATGTGTCTGATCTACTTTCTCGTTTTCATCTTCACACTATTAAATCTGTTCGTACGCCCCTTGCTACTCGCACGTCTCTATCCCTCACTGATGAGGAACTCCTTGAAGATGCCACTGAGTATCGGAGTATGGTTGGTGCGTTACAATATTTAACTTTGACACGACCTGATATTACCTATGTTGTGCATTTAGTATCTCAATTTATGCATGCCCCTCGTACTACTCATCTATTTGCAGTCAAGCGCATTTTTAGGTACTTGCAGGGGACTTTGGATCATGGATTGTGGCTTCAGCCGACTACTCGAGCCACATGTATTTTTGCATATTCTGATGCTGATTGGGCTGGTTGTCTAGATACATCTCGCTCCACGACAGGTTTTGCCGTATTCTTAGGTCCCAATCTTGTTTCGCGGAAGTCCAAAAAGCAGCCTACAGTTTCCAAGTCATCAACAGAGGCCGAGTATAGAGCAGTTGCCTACACTGTCCAGGACACATTGCATATTCGTTCCGTGTTGTTTGAACTTGGTTTTCCAGTTCACGTTTCTGTCCAACTTTTTTGTGATAACATCTCTGCTTCGTATTTGACTGCAAATCCTGTTCAGCATGCTCGTAGCAAGCACATCCAGATTGATTATCATTTTGTAAGAGAGCGTGTGGCTCATGGAGACTTAGTTGTGAAGTACATCCCTACACAGTTACAGTTGCCTGATATTTTTACTAAAAGCCTTTCTAGTCAGCAATTTCATTTTTTAAAAGACAACCAGCGCGTTGTATCTCCCGCACATTTTGAGGGGGTGTAATAGAATATTTAAGATACTTGTTTCCTTGTATATCTCAAACTCTTCTATATAAATATATCTGTCAGGACTCTTAATGGAGTACCCTTTTCCCAAATTCTCACAATACGGAGTAACACATATCTTTAAACATGACCGATGTTGTTTTCCACTGATAATATGATTCATTCACCTCTATTCTCTAAAAGAAGAGTTACTAACTACCCATTTTCTTTTCTGAAAGCTGAATGAGCCCAAATTTTATCACAATACAACTATACTCGTATTTATGCACATCAGCACATGCCGTGTTTTGCTCTTATTTACGGTCGTTTATTTTTAACACCCATTTAGTGGATCACAAAATGTTTTGTTGAACAGGGAACACAGTACAAAAAAATCATGGAAACATAAAATTAATTTAGAAGCTTTACCTCTGGAGTTGGAGATGGCAAGCATTCTTTTGAGTCTTGGAAGGTGGAATGAGTTGGTTGGTATGGGCCTGAAATTTAAGGGAAAGCTGAGATTTTGAAAAAATGGGGTTTGGGGGATGGTGCAGGAGGAAATGGCGGTGCAGCCATTGGTTCGTGTTGTCGCAGAGACAGACACCGCCATGGCTGTGGTGTAGAACGAGACGGCACTACAGCTTTTACGTTTTCAGTTGAAGTGAGGGGAGCTTTGAAGTTGTTGGCATTACTGTGGTGGCTCAGTTTTGTGAAAATCAACGTGACACGTTAGAGAAACAAAATTCAATTGATTAATACACATATTTTTTTAATTTTCCAGAAAACTCAAAAACTTGAAAAAAGGAAAGCAGAAAGTTTGTTACCGATTTTATTGATGAAAACTGGAGAAAGGGGGAAAAGCGTTTACCCAACTATTTTCCAAAACAAAAAATGAGATATATATCTATTTTCTTTAATGAATTGGAGAAATGAGTTTTACTACTTTTTCAAATTTGAAATACGCGGATGTTGTAGTGCTGTTGCAATCAACTGCAGTCAATGCCTCGGTGATCCCTGTACGGTCTGGTCAATGATCCAGCGGTCTTGTCTGGTTAACGACCCGACAGTCCCTGTCTGATTCCAGTCAATGACCCAACGATATTTGTCGGTCCAGTCAACAGTCAGGCAATCCCGGTCAATGATCCGACGATCCTTTTCTGGTCCGATTAATGGCCCGGCGGTCTTTGTTCGGTCCGATAGATAAACCGGCGGTCCCTATAAGGCCTTGTCAAGGACTGGGCGATCCAGGACCGGTTTGGTCAACAATCAACGGTCCTTGTCCGGTCCGATTGACGGCTCGGGAGTTCGGTCTTTGTTTTTAAACATTTTTTCAAAGTGAAGATTTCAAAAGAGTCGTTGGGTTGCCAAGCTACAGAGAAAAAGGAAAACAATTACTCAAATTAGTCGTTGGGACCGATCAAGACTGCCCGGTTTCCATCCAAACTTCCCTATACCCAATATCGAGTACCCTACTTGGATTGTACTAGCTTTGGTTCCGGATTGGGACGGTAATTTCTGTCTTTCGATCGGTCACATGTTTACAAATTTGAAATTGGAAAACTGAAAAATGAAAACAAAATATTGAAGATAACCCATTTGTGGAAAGAGTGCAACATGCTTCAAGCCTTCAACCTATGCTCCAATCCATTTCTGTCTCTACTCTCTACGACCAAAATATAACTCTAGAAAAATTGAAAATAATAATCTCAACTATTATCGTTCCGCTATTAATAATCCCACCTATCGATTATTCCTGGATGGTCCCAACTATACGTACCATTTTCCAAAAATAGTCTCCAACCTTCTACAACCTGCTAAAGCAGTTCAAATTTAAATGCGAACTATTCATAAGCCATAAATAATCCTAACTATTGTCGATCTTCTTTTATTAATCCGAATTATCAAATCTCAATTTTAGAAAAATATAAAAATATTTTTATGAATTTCCAAATTAAATATTTTTAAACATGTAAAAACTATTATGAAAATTTTACAAATGTACCGAAGTTAAATAAAATATTATTAGTCATTTTTTATTTATTTTCACTAAAATTTCATTTTTTTTCTTTTTTCCAAATTATTATTCCTAGTTGCATTAACAAGTTATGCTTTGGTATTATTTTCCTTTATTCAATTTTACATTTTCTGTTTTTAGAAAGTAAATTGTGACTAAAAATTTTATGAATGAAAGCTTTATTCTAGTTTTTTTCATGAAAATATATTTTATATAATTTTTAAGCTATCTTAATTATAAAAATTTAATTCTCTATTTTATGCATTTCAGTATTTGTAATTTCTTTCTATTTTCTCTATATAATTTCTTTCATATATAAATTTTATTTAATTTTTGTTTCTTTTTCATAAAATAAAGAAACTAGAAAGAAATAAAACTACTATAATTGAAAAAATAGAGAATTTTGGTTTTTAGAGTTGAGATAGCATAAAAAAATAATAAAATAGATTTTCATGCAAAAAATCTATAATAAAGATTTAAATCGTAAATTTTTTTTAGTCACAATATACTTTTTGAAAAAAAAAAGATAAAATTGAATAAAGGAAAATAATACAAAATCAATACTTGTTAACAAAACTAGGAAAAATAAATTGGAAAAAAGAAAAAAAATGAAATTTTAGTGAAAATAAATAAAAATTGTCTAAAAATATTTTTATATAACTTCAGTACATTTTGTAGAATTTTCATAATTATTTTTACATGTTTAAAAATATTTAATTTGGCAATTTACAAAAATATTTTTTATATTTTTCTTTAAAATTGAGAGTTGATAATTGGGTTAATAAAAGTAGATCCGACTATAGTTGGGATTATTTATAATTTACACATAGTTCGTATTTAAATTTGACCTGCTATACAAGGTTGTAACATGTTAGGAATTATTTTTGGAAAATGGCCTATAGTTGGGAGACTCAAGAATAATCGATAGTTAGGATTATTATTTTAAATTTTTTGATTGATATATCTTAATTGGCCATATTAATAAGTGGCTATGATTTAATATTCACTTGAGTTGTCCGATAATGCCAACACTGGACTGACGATCTGTTACGGACCTAACTTATACTAAACACATACCAGTGTATAAGCTTCGGTGTAGAAATCACATCTAAAAGAAGGAGAGAACCCTTGTCCATCGAGAATTATGGTACAAACATTTTTATAAAAAATCTTACAAAAGGATATGTGACATCATCACATTATTTAACACAACACATCACATTTACAACACTTTTGCATCAATGGTAATTAGAATAGCCACATCATTTGTTTGTAAGTTATTTTGTAAGTGTGTTTGTACTTCTAGTATTTTTCGCCCGCCGATCATACCAATATTTACACGATCCCAGTCTCACGAAAGAATGTGTCCCCCATGGGGTATATGCTCTATGAGATGCCAATATGCGGAACATGTGTATGTATGGAACACAAGGGCATTCCCGTCATTTGCTAACATAAATATTCTTCTCATCGATCAGCGAGTCACATGGACGGGTACGGGTCACGTGACCCGCGTAACGTTAAGCCTACAACTTCCCACATCACCGTTTCCTTTCCTCCCCACATTGCTCTGCTTCACTGGAGTTTCCTCCACCCGTCTCCTCACCCGCGCCGCCCAATACCACCGCGGCCGCTTCACGCTTCGAATCGTCCCGGCAATGGCTTCCATGAACCGCCTATTCAGATCCCCATCCTCCTCCTTTCCCCTCATACGAAACTGTTTTTTCACCACCTCCGCCGCCGCCGCATCGGAGACAGTGAAACCGGGAAGTTACCTTCATACCCGTCACACGGCCGCTCAAGATCCCAAGGCTAAAGGCATCCAGTGGGTGTTCTTGGGATGCCCCGGCGTTGGAAAGGGGACCTACGCTAGCCGTCTTTCTACTCTCCTTGGAGTTCCGCACATCGCCACCGGCGATCTCGTCCGTGAAGAGCTCAATTCATCAGGGCCTCTCTCTAAGAAGGTATGCGGACATTCCGCATGCGCAGAGCTATTATTTTTGTTCATATCATTATATATGTAGGATCATAATAGCCAATTTCTATAAATCCCATCATAAAAGATGAATTTTTAAAATATGTTCTCTGTCGAAAAAGGAGTTTATATGAAAAAACAGTGCATGTTTTCACGCTATGGGGGGTTATAGATATAGAATCATACACATGCATACAAGTATTAACTTATGAATCTCTGGCAAAGGAAGATATTTGACATGTCAATGTGAAGAAAGCTAATTTGATGTGTGTAATGCATTGTTTCATGGTCGTTTGCTCACATTTTATGCAAATCCAGCTTATATTTTGAGTTCTGTATCATTCACTAAATGTTTGTCTGGTTAGGGGATTTTAGAGGAAAGGGAAGAAGACGATTGCACTTTAATTACTAATTTATCCCTATTTGTTAGATCTTTAGAGAAATAGTTATGTGGTTACTGGTTAGTTAGATCATGTTTCGTGTGTAGCTCTTTACAGTTTACATTCACATTTTTTCCAACCATCTAAATCACTAAATGTAGAAACACTTCAAAAAATAAGGTCACCCCTCCACCCTCAAAATCCCGAACCAAACAAGCCTGAAATGCCAAACATTTTACTACAAAGTGCATAATCCTCCTTCCATCTCCTGGTCTTTGATTTTTCAATTATCAACTGGTGTGTCGTTTCCTGCTTCCAGCTTGCAGAGATTGTAAACCAAGGGAAGTTGGTTTCAGATGAGATAATACTGAACTTACTGTCAAAGAGGCTAGAGGCTGGAGAAGCTAGAGGTGAAGCAGGATTTATACTTGACGGATTCCCTCGAACTGTTAGGCAAGCAGTAAGAACATTTCACTTTTTTCCACCATGATTTTAAGAATAACATTCTTGCTCTTTATGGTGTGTACTAGTTGTGAATTCTTAAACCCAGTCACAAACTCACACTAAGGGTCTCTGTGGACCCTGAATATATTAGGGAAACAAAACTGTACTCCATTAAGGGTCTCTGTAAAGGAAATCGTGTAAGAAAGAAAACATGAGGGAAAACAAGGGATATACCCAAACTCAATAAATGTGTTCTAGATATTTGTTCAAACTATTTCTTTTATATATTTTAATTATATAAAGACTAAGAAATCTAAATATATGATTTTTACTCTAGTGAAAATAATCATGTTTCATTTTCTTTTCATTTAAGAAAATAAACTGTTCTTGACATCTTCTTTCCTTTCCCTAGCAATTTCTGTGAACCAAAAATACAATCATGGGTTGTTTCTACTGTGGTATAAAAACTCAAATATTTCTTTAAAGTTATGGGCATGAATAGTTATAAGAAGCCCAATATGCTTTAATCTAAGTTGCCATGTGAACCTTTCTTTGTTGAAGTGGGAGATTTTAAGTAGTGCACAATGACATCAGTTGGTTACTATAGAATTATGATTGTGTTAATTTGTCTAATGTGCTTTTGGTTTGGAGGATAATGTACTAGCCTATCTACCATCTTAGTTATGGAAATTAAAAACACACCTTATTTTTTCTAAGTGGTTAATGACATTAGTGGCGGACTCAGAAAAATAGAATCATGGGGCCCTAGTGTCAACAACAACAACAACATCCAAGCCTTAATCCCAAAAGAATTTGGGGTCGGCTAACATGAATCGATCTATGATATCGATGCCAAAAAGAGAAGGCGGACAAGAAAAGGAAAAAAAAGTAAGATAAAATGAATAAAATAAAGATACATAAATATAAGATAACAAT